TATAGTACAGCCATCTTGTACACTATATACGTCAGTGCTGATACATTTCACACTACCATTTGTCAGACTTCACGCACAAATCTTCCACTGGCTGTGTTATTCAATTATTATTTTATTCTATTGACATTACCAACCTAAAGAAAATATTCTGAAATATGCTTTCACATTTGCAGAAATTGACAGCTTTTTTTAAGCTTCAGGACTAACGATGGTATTGTGATAATTGGCAGTAACAACAAAACAGACTTGATTTTATAATAATAATTTTATTGTGTTCTCTCGTTAATTGAGAGAAAGACTTTCAGTGGGATATATATAGGATAAAATCTACCTCTTCACCCAACGTTTGTGTTTTACCTACCAACATTCAAATCATGTAAAGCACAGACAGTTGGCATCATATCTTCTTAAATCACCAAAATATATCTACAATAACCATAAATTAAGAAGTATTGATTACAAAAGAAAAAAAAAGATGTCACAGGTGGCTGGTGAATGTGATAAACTTCTGTGATATACAGCCCACTAATAAAGACCGATCAGCAGTAACATGACATTACCTCTTTACAACATGTTTCTTATTGATTGTATGAGTGGATAATTTTCAATATCAAAAAGTAGTAAAATATGAGAGGAAAGACAGAGTAACAGATCCATGTTATATATCAGTTTAATAAGACAGACCCAATCTATAAACACACAAAAGGAACACGTGGTACAACAATATTATAACTGGTACACTTGACAGTGTTATCACAGAAAAGGATTACTGATTGAAAAAAATGACATTATTTTTATATTGTGTAATATATTGATATAGAGGTACAAACGATAATGTAAAACAAACCTCTCGCCCAAAAAAGGAAAATGAGGACAATTGTTCACTGAAACAACTGGAACTGAAACTGAAACAAGTGGAATATCTAAAAACTGTACATGAAAAATCAACAGGATTCTAAAATCAGCCATGTACAGTACAGAATAGTGAAAGGAACCATCACCAAAGCGTTGCACCAAGAACATTGGTAAAAAGCATAAACATGTCAAACATATTGGCTTTTACTGCATTTGTAAGGCAAAATGTCAAATCAATATCAATACTAGTTTAGTAAAAATAAATTAAGATATGATATATATAATGAAGATTTTTGAACTTGTGTCAATTTGACTGAACCGACAGGAATTATCACCATAACATGATCCTCAACATTCACGGGAATTTTTTAATTCAAACGAACAAAGTATGTTAAGATTGACCCCATATTGAACACCGAAGTTGCTCAAGGCCACCTTAGCTGTTATGAAAACTATAAAGCTTTGTGGCATTCTTCTACATAGATACAATGAACTTAAACACGATAGTGTAACAACTATGTTTATCTTCGTTGTCAGTATTGTGATCATTCACAACAGATATGATACATTAATATATATAGAAGAACATGTGTGTTGTGTGCTTGACTAAGGTTCACCAAAGTGTACCGTACCCCAAGTATGACGTTCCAGCCACTAGCAGTGTAGGAGATAGAACTCATACACACCTTTTTCTTTCATTTAGGTCAAAGGTCAAACTGTAGGTCAGAATGACCAACTCTTGACAAATGACACATTGCCTTACCAAAGTGAACACATACCCCGAGTATGAAGTTCTATTACTGATATTGTAGGACATGGAGCCCTGGATAAGATAGTAGAAGGGTAGATATTTACATGTCTATTGAGACATGTACAACATCTAGAGGCAATCTTACATGATATCTGTTTGTATAAGGAGTAAATAAAAACATTGGTTCAATCATTTGTTCTTGGAACTATCTTGTTATCGTGGCGTTGTCAATGATGCCTGCTTGGTTCTGCCTATCTCTTCCAGTATAATATGACAATGCTACTATACTAACTGTTCTAATAATGTGTATAAGGTAATTTTATGACAGGATATTTAACAAACCAAAAAAAAAAAAAAATTGCAGGCCAACCATTAAATACCATATGTATATATAACAGCAATTTTTTTTTCATGTTTTAATTGTTCCAAATTTTCCCTCCTTTTCAGAAAATCAATCTTTGTTATATCATTTCAACTTATCAAAATGGTTTACTAGTTTGAAAGTAATTTGTCTGCTGAAATATAGATTTTATATCTCTTCTCATACAAGACTGAATTTGTAATCAAACATCACTTAAAAATGATGACGGTTGTGGTAACAAAGCAGCACAATCTATATATCAATGAAAATATAGATAGAAGAAATCTTACAGGGTGTTTGGCCATGATTTTGAATTTTATTGAAAACTGTTAAACCATACATGAAAATAGTGATACCATGGTCAAGGGCCATCAAATATGTCTTCATAGTTTTTTACAGGCAGTGGCTGTTACTGTTAGGAAATATCATTGGATATACAAGTATAAAACATGATGATGCATGATTTAGGCTGGTCAGAGGCACTTTACAAAATAACGATGTAAATCTGTTTTGATTAGGCTGATTGTATTAATATAATGAGCAAAAAAAAAAGGATCTGAAAACAAAGTTTTTTTTCGAGAAAAAATAATACTGTTGTATTAGATACAATACCGTAAACAGTAACACCTGTATCTATAGCTTTGTTTACATCACAACAAAGGGGCATCTGGACACACAAATGACCGATTTCATAGGTCTCTTTCACAAAGTCATTAATAACATTCAACTGAAAAAGTTTTGTTCACCTTCCATAATATGCATTTGTAAAGTTTTCTTCGCCAAAAAATTTCAATTTCTCTTAATGCGTTCATGTTGGTAACACTAAAGCATTCAGCATCATTAAGAAACTCAAAAGATCTTTATCAATATATCAACTACTTTTACACAGAACAACAAAAACACATGTTCAAAAAGTAAACAAAGAAATAAAGTACAAAAAAATGGTTACCTACTAATTATTTAATTACAAAAATTCAGAATTTTCTTACAATTTAACTGGTTTACTGAGAACAAAATTGAAATCTATGTAAAATGCTTGTCCAATAGAGACAGGTGTAAAACAGCAATAGTGAAATAAGCAGTGAATAAATAGTAATATATAACGGAGGAAAAAATAGAAAACCCAACCCACAATGGCGTCAAAATTGACAAAAAATATCTACTGAAAGTGAACACGTTTTAATCATCAAAATTCATACTTTACAGTCATACATGTACCGTTTGTGCACCTGATCCAAAACCTCAGTGTTTACCTTAGAGAGGTAAGGTTTTGTGTGGCCACACAAGAGTACAACAATCACACTTTTGTATTCATGGCATGTTGGATTTCATCTCATCACAGTTCATTGTGTATATCACAACACAGCACTTAACTACACCATCAGGTGTATATTAGAGTTTGCATACATAACATGATAATTACAAGACCACCCCCTCCCACCCCTTTCCATTTTTCCAGTCAAAGAATCTTGAGTATGGTTCAGTGACCTGTTCTGATCTATCTATGTCCATCACTGGTGTCTGTTAATATTTCCACTTTTCTGAGAAATAAAATGCAGCTATTTCCATGACTAATGACAAATTCAAATTGTAACTTGTATCGTTTCAACTTCCTAGTGGTCTGAAGGGCTTCAGAAATCTTCTTCTCCAGACCAAGATTACTGTTACATCTTAAGAATAAAAACTTCTCCACGGATGGGCAGATTAAATATTGCTTTATCAAATAATGAATTTAATCTTGGCTAGAATTGTTTTCAGTTAGATGACAGTTTGGTCCTATCAAAAATAAGATGTAGCCCACATCCCGGGGGGGCCTGAAGGGATGGGGTAAAACAGAGAAAACTTGCTTATACTTAAAACTCCAGACCGAATTAGTTAAATAAGAAACCTTCGGGCCTGTATTGCTCACCTGGTTTAGTTTGCTGAAATTGCTTCATATCCCATTTTTAGCCCATCTCTTTGTCTCTGGGTGGGATCAGACCCACAAATTATACATAATTGAGATCCCCTTTACCAAGTATGCTTCAAACAAAATATTCATAAAGAAAAGGGATTTTTAAAAATTGGCTCTATTTCTCCTATTTGGCCTTTCTCTCCCACTCGCAGGACAGAGACCCTGCTGTTTATATAAAAACTGATTCCCTTTTCCTAAAGGACAATTCACAACAAATTCTGACATAATCCAATTATCCTTACAGAAGAAGGTTTTGTAAATAATTTGTTCTAATACTCAGCCTGCCCTTCCTGGCCAAAGGAACACAAACCCATTATTTATAAACTAAATCCCCATCACCCAAGGATGCTTCAAACCCAGGAGGGACAGAATCCAGACATGATGAAAGATTTAAAATAATTAGATTATATCCCCTATTTTTTTTCAACCCCAAACAGGCCAAAACTCAGTCTATACAAAATTGATTCCCATTTTTCCTCTATCGGGCCCCATCCACTCTAGAAGGGCAATACCCACTGTTACAAATTTGATCTCACTTCAACCATATAATTAACAAATTCATTGCATTTGTGACCAAGGAAGCATCCTATCACGGGTTTCTAAGAAGAAGTTGAATATATAAATTGTTTACAGACACATGACAAATGATAGATGATGTATGACGATGGAGGAAAGGAAAAATTCTTAAAGAACGGCTAACAGAAGGACGACAGAATACAGCTAGACGCAGGGCGATTTGGTCAGCCCACCAACTACCATGGTGAACTAAAATCTTTTATCTCCACTACACATTCACATTCATACATAATTGTCCATTCATGGTCAAAACCAGTGTCCATGAAATTCAGCAAAAGTCTATTGCACAATCATGGCTGTTTTGATCAAATGTGGGACAATATCTTTAATTTCATCCATATTCAATAAAGGGAATTGCTAACAAAACTCTAAATGCTAACTAACTGATTAATATTCTTCGTAAACTCATAAATATTCAGTGTATCTTTGTACAGTCATATCTATAAAACTTAAATTTGAAAAGTTCATTGAAAATTTAATCATTTAAAAAAAATGTGGCCCTGTGGGCAATTGTGATTGCCAATTAAAAGTAGAATTACTAAAACTGTATTGCAAAAAAAAAAAAAAAACAAAAAAAAAATTTGTTATATGAGGGATGAGCTTGAACACTCCCAGCTCCCAAAGTATGCTACAGATCTAGGTCACTCAAAATACACCCCATACACAGAGCCTATGGCAAATAATTTATTGTTACGGAATTCATAGGAAGAAAATGTATCACATGTCGAGTCCCACAGGCATCGACTGCCGATCCGCAGACCCTGGTTGTTCAGCTGTCCAATGTGGACCAAACAGATGATCTTGAAGCGTGGGATATTCATTTCTCTCACTCGTGTCTTGATGATCTGAAACAGGTCATCATACAATTAAGTGTGAAATTCTTAACAAGATCAAAATATTTACATGTGTTCTCCTTACTCTGGTAATAATGTATGAACTCTTCAGACATACAGACTCTGTCAAACACATTTCAACATTTGAATTGACTAGAAAACACTCATGAACTTCAAATATTAAAAAAAAGGTTCACCTGAGTTATGAAATATTTCAGTCAATTTGACCAATTTTTGCCCCAACCATCAGCCCCTGTAAATATGTGATTACTATCACCATCCCATGCTAATAGTTCTAACCAAGTCTGAATTATTTTCAATGGCTTTTTAACAAATGATGCTCAATAATATGAATTCCTACACAAACTGTGTTAAATTTTACCCAAATGGGAAAATGTGATACACCATGTTTATTAGGTTCACAATTTGGGTGAAGCAGCTGAAGATCCTTCCATGTATGAAGAGTCTTTTAATCTGTCATTTCTGGATATTGAGGGGAAGGTTTTGATATTTTAGTCTATCATTTCTGGGTATTGAGGGGAAGATTTTAGATATTTTAGTCTATCATTTCTGGGTATTGAGGGGAAGGTTTTATTTTATATATTTTAGTCTATCATTTCTGGGTATTGAGGGGAAGATTTTAGATATTTTAGTCTATCATTTCTGGGTATTGAGGGGAAGGTTTTGATATTTTAGTCTATCATTTCTGGGTATTGAGGGGAAGATTTTAGATATTTTAGTCTATCATTTCTGGGTATTGAGGGGAAGGTTTTGATATTTTAGTCTATCATTTCTGGGTATTGAGGGGAAGGTTTTGATATTTTAGTCTATCATTTCTGGGTATTGAGGGGAATGTTTTTGATATTTTAGTCTATCATTTCTGGGTATTGAGGGGAAGATTTTAGATATTTTAGTCTATCATTTCTGGGTATTGAGGGGAAGATTTTAGATATTTTAGTCTATCATTTCTGGGTATTGAGGGGAAGATTTTGATATTTTAGTCTATCATTTCTGGGTATTGAGGGGAAGGTTTTGATATTTTAGTCTATCATTTGTGGGTATTGAGGGGAATGTTTTTGATATTTTAGTCTATCATTTCTGGGTATTGAGGGGAAGATTTTAGATATTTTAGTCTATCATTTCTGGGTATTGAGGGGAAGGTTTTGATATTTTAGTCATCATTTCTGGGTATATTTTATATTTTAGTCTATCATTTCTGGGTATTGAGGGGAAGATTTTAGATATTTTAGTCTATCATTTCTGGGTATTGAGGGGAATGTTTTTGATATTTTAGTCTATCATTTCTGGGTATTGAGGGGAATGTTTTTGATATTTTAGTCTATCATTTCTGGGTATTGAGGGGAATGTTTTTGATATTTTAGTCTATCATTTCTGGGTATTGAGGGGAAGATTTTAGATATTTTAGTCTATCATTTGTGGGTATTGAGGGGAATGTTTTTGATATTTTAGTCTATCATTTCTGGGTATTGAGGGGAAGATTTTAGATATTTTAGTCTATCATTTCTGGATATTGAGGGGAAGGTTTTGATATTTTAGTCTATCATTTCTGGGTATTGAGGGGAATGTTTTTGATATTTTAGTCTATCATTTCTGGGTATTGAGGGGAAGATTTTAGATATTTTAGTCTATCATTTCTGGGTATTGAGGGGAATGTTTTTGATATTTTAGTCTATCATTTCTGGGTATTGAGGGGAAGATTTTAGATATTTTAGTCTATCATTTCTGGATATTGAGGGGAAGGTTTTGATATTTTAGTCTATCATTTCTGGGTATTGAGGGGAATGTTTTTTCTGGGTATATTTTAGTCTATCATTTCTGGGTATTGAGGGGAATGTATTTTAGATATTTTAGGATATTGAGGGGAAGGTTTTGATATTTTAGTCTATCATTTCTGGGTATTGAGGGGAAGATGTTTTTGATATTTTAGTCTATCATTTCTGGGTATTGAGGGGAATATTTTTTTTCTGGGTATTGAGAAGTTTTTGATATTTTCAGTCTATCATTTCTGGATATTGAGGGGAAGGTTTTGATATTTTAGTCTATCATTTCTGGATATTGAGGGGAAGGTTTTGATATTTTAGTCTATCATTTCTGGGTATTGAGGGGAAGGTTTTGATATTTTAGTCTATCATTTCTGGGTATTGAGGGGAATGTTTTTGATATTTTAGTCTATCATTTCTGGGTATTGAGGGGAAGGTTTTGATATTTTAGTCTATCATTTCTGGGTATTGAGGGGAATGTTTTTGATATTTTAGTCTATCATTTCTGGGTATTGAGGGGAATGTTTTTGATATTTTAGTCTATCATTTGTGGGTATTGAGGGGAATGTTTTTGATATTTTAGTCAATTTAGGTATTTTAAGTAATTATTACAGTATTAATGAATGGAATGGAGTATCTTTCTTGTTACTTTTGGCCCAAATCTGGTGGTAATGGTGATGGTGGTTTATGGTGTCCATGACTTTTCCCATTACTGGACGTTGTCCCTGGCAAAGGGAGAGCCATGGAGATCAGAAAACAGGAAAAGTCATAGAAACTCAAACCTGTGTGAGTTTTATCTATATCTATATCTATATCTATATCTGTATCTCAGTACATCTGACTGATTTGGTTATTTTAACCCTATCCTCGGTCTCCAGGGGTCAGTCTGGTTCAACATGCCATCAAACTGCCATCTCATGCAGATAATTCTAAGTTTGTAGTATTTTATGTGATGGCAGTTAAATAAATAATGCTTTAAAGTGGGATTTCCCAATACATACATACTTCCCAATTTTCAAAATTTAGTTGTGAGTTTCCAAATTTTCACCACCCTGCCCCACCTCCAGATTGTATTGATTACTGAGATCCTGTTAGGTCACAAATAACCTCATTATACTTGTCAAACAGAAGCAAAGATGTAAAATTGACCACAGAATCAAAGACTAGTGAGATGACTTCTTGTGATCCTAGTCCATGGTTTTCCCTATTTTATGCTAGACCATAACATTTTTTACTCAGGAGGGAACTTTGACTATCATGGGTTTTTATACAAATACACGAGGGAAACTTCAAAGGAAATATAGGGGTAATACACCTAACTGTGATACAATTCTTATTTCATAACATACGATATCACGATAAAAACAAAATTTCAAATATCATGGACCATTAGATCAATATCTAAACAAGGTGAATTTCTTAAAATAAGTGATTTCATGTTTTTACCCATTTTTTCTAAAGTTGCCTATGTAGCATTGATGTCTTCAGAATTTCATGACCTAAAACTTCTGTTTATTTTGTGCATATTTTAGTTTCATCAATTCTTCATTACCAGCATCCAAGCAGATTACTATTAATTTCAATATCTGTTACATGGTATGATTTCAATCTCTACAGAACAGCAGTCATTACCTCTGATGTCGTTTTTGAGAGCTGACGACATAATTCTGGCTCATATTTTTCATGGCGAAGACAGCTTTCAAGAACGTCACTGATGATACAACGTATCCTGGCAGTAGGAAACTTTTGATTGGGTGCTGTCTGGTAAGAGTTTTCGTATTTGACTGGTGGACGGTAGTGGTCATCATGACCGGGGTCATCAGTGAAAGACACAGTACTCATAGAACTGGAAAAAAGTGAAAGAAGAAAATTAATCATCAGAGAGCATGCAGTTATCTATTAAAGTTGTCACTAGGTTTGAAACAAAATAATTTCTGTGTTCAATATGATATTAAAACCATGTGTATATTGCTGCTTGCTAACTATGATTAAATTATCAATTATTTAAAAACTTCAATAAAATTTAGATATCTGCTGTACAGTAACCATTGGTTTAAATCAGTTTCCATGCATTACTGAAAATGAGATCATTTATCATACTATGAAAATCAAAACTGGACATTGATAAGTAATCCAACAATGAACTCTCATTCCAAAACTGGACAGTTGACACATTAAAAATCCTGATGATAATATTTTTCAAATATAAATGGTGTTTGTATGTCTGATAATAATGTTTGTCAACAAGAGGTCTACTGGACGACCTGTATCACTCACCCGTGATAATTCAAGCTTTCACATCAAAACATTTTCATTTAAACATCACTATGGTCATGCTTTTTTTCTCCAATAGATGGGGATATTAATGCTTACAGCCAAATTTGGTCACACGGGTGAAATTCCTGATAAAGACATCCTGACATTAATTGCCAGGTGAACCATAATGACGATTCTAGTGACATGTTTACTATGACAAGGCTAAGTAGTTTGTTGGTGACTATCACTGGTTAAGTCCTCAATCCACTGTACCATCTCCAATCATACCTTTACTGGAAAATTTTGGAAAGAATGATGAAAAAACATAATTCAGAGAATTACAGTCCTGGCCACTAACTTAACACCTCACCCAGGTGAACTCATTTAGTATGGAGTAGGAAGTGCCAGTGACTAACAGTGAAGGACCTACGACCTGAAACAAACTTTTATGGGTTTTTTTTATGTAGGACAATCCCATATCCTAAACTTTAATTTCCCATGATATGTGACACACAGTCTCACAAAGGTAAACCCATATCACAAATGAAATTTCCTAGAAGTAGTAGTGTAGCAGATAGGGCCCAGATTTTCTTTGATGTAGGTCAAAGGTTAAAATATACCTCAGAGGGACCTTCTTCTGATGTGACACTGTCTCACCATGATGAACATATATCCTAAGTATCCAGTTCTCCTGATTAGTTGTGTTGGACTCTTGGGGACATGACTCAGTGATGGTCAACATTTTTAATTTTCACACATTAATACTACTATCTGCAGGTGACCATATTTCTAAATAAATTTGAATATTTCTCACTTCAGATATATAGAATATACATATATTTCATAAACTGAAGTACATTTAGCCCCTTTTGATGGGAAAATAGGGAACTGTGGTTTTAGGAAAAGCTTAGATTTGATAAAGCATCATGAGACCTTTCCATCCATGTTTATATACAGGCCAATTATTCCATTTCCCTATAAATATATCAAGCTCCAAGGGTGAAGGTCATATCAAACAGCTATCTAATGGTAAAAATCTCAGCCAGACTGAATTATTTCTCACTAAAAATAATCCAAACATCCTTTATTTGAATGGGTTATTTTGCTCAATAAAATGTAGTAAAATTTACCCTTCTGTGGAGTGATATGGGGGACCTAGGGGATATGAAATTTACAATTTTGATAAAACACCATGGGATTTTTTTATCCAATGAGATTGTTTGATTCTACAGCATTTCAGTTTGGAATAGAAGACATCTGAAATATAAGCAAATTTCCCCCTTTATATCCCACCTGCTAGGCCCCAGATATGGGGTCTACATCTTATTTTTCATGCAAACAAAACTCAAACTAATGACAATCACACCAGGCATGGTTGAATATTTTTTCACTGAAAATAAACAAAACAAGGTATCATAAACAGTCCCAATCCCTCAAGGAAGAAATGATATAACAATATTTAGACGATATTTACCATCAGAAGAGGAAAGACAAGGAATGAAACCTAGAATGTTTGCCTAGGAGCTGACATACCCCATGCATTTGGGCTGATTCACTGTAGGGGCTATAAAAATGAGTAAATATATAAAAATACCTAGTATATATGAATCAGTGAAAAATATTTGACCATGACCCCTGATCTTGACCTTTGACACTGTGACCTTGACTTTTTGTTAGTTGACCCCTTTTTAAAAATTCTGACGAATATTGCTTCATAATGTCATAACAAAATATGCATGAGATACAATGAGATACAAAATTTGACTTGACCTCCAACTGAGTAACCTTGCCATACTTGAAAATTTTCAATTAAAATATTTTCTATCTTTAAAAATCTATCCCAACTTGCATACATGTAAAGAGAAGGTTGAAGCTTTCTCTATGGATGGTTGTAATAGTTGTACATACTAAATATAAACTCTGGTACAATTACTTAATAGTAATAGTAATAGGATGGTTGTAATAGTTGTACATACTAAATATAAACTCTGGTACACTTACTTAATAGTAATAGTAATAGGATGGTTGTAATAGTTGTACATACTAAATATAAACTCTGGTACACTTACTTAATTGACAAGGTGTTAATCAACCTCAAAACCTGATCTTTTATAACACATGTATGTAATGCTTGCTATTATCCCTTACCGATTCAAATAGCTAATTAATCCTGTTATTCGTGTACCTAGGTATATGGTATATACAAGATTTGCTGTATATCCTACTTAATCTCAGTCCATTTAGTAATTCTCATGGTTGAGTAAATCTGTTTATTTATTAATTCAGCCTCTGCTGAGTCAATTTCTCATTTCAGTAACTCTCACTGTAGAGCCAATCTGTCTATCTAGTAACTCTCACTAGAGTCAATCTGTCTGTAAAGTAACTCTCACTGTAGAGTCAATCTGTCTATCTAGTAACTCTCACTAGAGTCAATCTGTCTGTAAAGTAACTCTCAATGTAGAGTCAATCTGTCTATCTAGTAACTCTCAGTATGGAGTCAATCTGTCTATCTAGTAACTCTCAGTATGGAGTCAATCTGTCTATCTAGTAACTCTCACTAGAGTCAATCTGTCTGTAAAGTAACTCTCAATGTAGAGTCAATCTGTCTATCTAGTAACTCTCAGTATGGAGTCAATCTGTCTATCTAGTAACTCTCAGTATGGAGTCAATCTGTCTATCTAGTAACTCTCACTAGAGTCAATCTGTCTGTAAAGTAACTCTCAATGTAGAGTCAATCTGTCTATCTAGTAACTCTCAGTATGGAGTCAATATGTCTATCTAGCAACTCTCACTGTTGTAGGAGTCAATCTGTCATTTAAATAACTTTCACTGGAGAGCCAATATGTCTATCTAGTAACTATCAATGTTGAGTCAATCTGTCTATCTAGCAACTCTCACTGTTATAGGAGTCAATCTGTCATTTAAATAACTTTCACTGGAGAGCCAATATGTCTATCTAGTAACTATCAATGTTAAGTCAATCTGTCTATCTAGCAACTCTTAACGTAGAGTAAATCTGTCTTTCTAGCCACTCTCACTAGAGTCAATCTGTCTATCTAGCAACTCTCACTGTTATAGGAGTCAGCATGTCATTTAAATAACTTTCACTGTAGAGTCAATCTGTCTTGTAACTCTTACTGGTGATTACATAATCACTAGGTATCACTTAATCACTAGGTATCACTTAATCACTAGGTATCACTTAATCACTAGGTATCACTTAATCACCAGGTAACACGTAATCACGTTGTATCACGTAATCACTCTGTATCACATAGTCACCAGGTAACACATAATCACCAGGTAACGCGTAATCACTTTGTATCACATAATCACTAGGTATCACTTAATCACTTTGTATCACGTAATTACTCTGTATCAGGTAATCACTCTGTATCACGTAATCACTAGGTATCACGTAATCACTAGGTATCAGGTAATCACTTTGTATCACGTAATCACTAGGTTTCACGTAATCACTAGGTATCACGTTATCACTTTGTATCACGTAATTACTCTGTATCACGTAATCACTAGGTATCACGTAATCACTAGGTATCACGTAATCACTAGGTATCACGTTATCACTTTGTATCACGTAATTACTCTGTATCACATAATCACTCTGTATCACGTAATCACCAGGTATTACGTAATCACTCTGTATATGTAATCACTAGGTATCACTTAATCACTAGGTATCACTTAATCACTAGGTATCACTTAATCACTTTGTATCACGTAATCACTAGGTATCACGTAATCACTAGGTATCACGTTATCACTTTGTATCACGTAATTACTCTGTATCACGTAATCACTAGGTATCACGTATTTACTAGGTATCACGTAATCACTAGGTATCACATAATCACTAGGTATCACGTAATCACTCTGTATACGTAATCACTAGGTAACACGTAATCACTCTGTATCACGTAATCACTAGGTATCACGTAATCACTAGGTATCACGTAATCACTAGGTATCACGTAATCACTAGGTATCACGTAATCACTAGGTATCACGTAATCACTCTGTATCAGGTAATCACTCTGTATCACGTAATCACTAGGTAACACGTAATCACTTTGTATCACGTAATCACTAGGTATCACTTAATCACCAGGTAACACGTAATCACTAGGTATTTGCTTTTTGTAACTTATCTGGTTTCATAACTTCACCATATATATACTCAACAAAAAAAGAAAGGTTAACATGTTTCTTTGGCGAATACCTGTAAATGAGTGAAAACAAAATGACGTTTGTGCAATATTAGAAAATGGTAATGTTCAAGCGTGAAAGTCTGTATTAGCGAAAGAGCTGCACAAGGTTTTCTACGACTAACTTGTATCTTCACTTGAATTTCATAAACATTCAAACTGACAACTGTTCCTTAGATCCTTAGGACTTAGAAATCACCAAATCTTACTATCTATCAACTTTATCATTATGCCCCGGCTGTCACAAGTACAGAGAGAAAGGGCTGTAGGCATGATCCAGGCTGGGGAGTCTCGCCGTCGAGTTGCACGGCATTTTGGTTGCAGTGTAAAGACAATTGGCCAATTGGTAAGTCATTTAAACCAAACTGGGTCAACATCCGCTTCATAAAACGACCACCAAGGATGACCGTCGTATACGATTGATACACTTGTGCAATCGATTCGTAACCGCAGTAGAGACTACAAGGCCATTGTTTGGGCGTCGTGTGTCTCCCCAAACAGTCTGCAACAGGTTGAGGGCCTACCAATTGAAAGTGCGGCGTCCCTACACTGGACCCAATTTGTTGCGACGTCACCGTAATAATCGGCGTAACTGGACCCGTGTTCACCATCGTTAGGCCTTACGACAATGGAACAATGTTCTGTTTTCAGATGAGTCCAGGTTTTGTTTGCAACACGGTGACGGAAGGCGCAGAGTGTGGAGGCGACGAGGGGAGCGTTTTGCGAACTGCTGCGTCGCAGAACGGGACCGCTTTGGCGGCGGAAGTGTAATGGTTTGGGGTGGTATTTGTGGGGGGACTCGTACCAGGCTTGTTGTGTTAAATGGCAATTTAACCGGCATTCGATATCGGGACGAAATTTTAAGACCAGTGGTTCTGCCATTCTTAAGACACCATGGCATTGGCGCCATTTTTCAACAGGATAACACACCAGCGCACACCAGTCGCGTCAGCAGAACTTTCTTGCAGCAGAATAACGTACAGGTGTTAGATTGGCCATCTAAATCACCTGATTTGTCACTGATTGAGCATGTCTGGGACGTTCTTGGGCGATGCGTGAGAGAACGTCAAAATCAGCCGCCAAACTTTCAGGAGCTGGCCCAAGCCTTGATCGCTGAATGGAACAACATCTCTCCTCGAATTATCCGCCGGTTTGTGAGTTCCATGCGACGACGCTGCAATGCTGTTTACTTCACAAATGGTGGCCATACCCGTTATTAATGGTGTTACCTTTGAAATTGACCCCAACGTCCTTTACAGTCGAATAAAATCAAGTGAACGCAAAGTTTTATAATGAACCATGACTGCAGTTTTATCAGAATTGATCAATTACTTTATTCATACATGATTGGTAAGGATTTATGAAGGGGTTAATTAATTAATCACAGAATAAAGTAGTGTTACCTTTCTTTTTTTGGTTTAGTACATATCAATATCATTATATTAGATATTCATTAGCTGAAGACATAAAAAAACCAACTAGCTAACATCACAACTCATCAATGTGGAGTCAATCTGCCCCTGAAGTTACTCTTACTGTGGAGTCAATCTGTCCTTGAAGTTACTCTCACTGTGGAGTCAATCTGTCCTTGAAGTTACTCTCACTGTGCAGTCATTCTGTCCTTGAAGTTACTCTCACTGAGGAGTCAATCTGTCCTTGAAGTTTCTTTCACTGTGGAATCAATCTGTCTATTACGTAACTCTTAATGTAGAGTCAACCTGTCCCTTAAATTAAATAATTCTGAGAGTGGAGTCAATCTGTACTTTTAATAACAATCACTGTAGAGTCAATCTGTCCCTGAAATAACTCACTGTGGAGTCAATCTGTCCCTGAAATAACTCACTGGAGTCAATCTGTCTATTACGTAACTCTCACTTTCTGGCCAGGCGAGCTAAAAATTATCAAAACATGCAGCATAAGGTTTATAAAAATCCACTTTTTCTACATGTGATATGATGTACTTTGAAGATCCTACAATTTCTCGATCAAATATTTCAAAATAATTTTTTTCCGATATCAATATCTAAAATCTGTTAGAGTACATCACATCACTAAAACTGGCAGTTACAAATCAAACCAAGCAAACAAAACAAAAGTCTCCTGTTAACACAAGCATGCAATAACAGTATACCAGCATTTACCATTCTCCCAGCAGACTTTTGTCAATGCTTTTTTCTACAGGTAGACTGCAAAGAAAATTTACCTTCAATATACATATAAAAACAATCACAACAATCACACTCACATTACTTATGTAGGTGCATGATGGGAGCTTGAGCAATATCCTTTTTGTCATTTTGAGATTATTTTTGTCCACAATTGTAGATCTCGTATAAATATATATATATATATATATATTTTTACAAGACATAAAGAATCAAAACAGAATTTAATAATTAACTGAAAATTAAATACATGTATCAACAGATTTGAAATTCTATAAACAAATAATAAATCTATAAAACATATATTTAGTTTTTCTTACTTGTCATGCATTATTATATGAGCCATTCAAATTATATAGTGAAAACTGCTTAATATCATGGTCCATCTGTCATGAAAAGATGTGATAATAACCAGAATGTAACATTAACAGCTGACACATTTTTTTCTAATTTCTAATCCCAGAAGTGAACTTTCGGATGTGCAAAACTAGCAACCCTTCAGTCTCTAGCCAGACACTCTATCGCTCAACTTACGAGAAACTCCCACTAACCGCAGCTAATAAAGCAAACTGTACTCTCAAATTCTACACTGCTCCCTACTTCATAAAGTCTTAGACCCCAATGACAACAACAACCCAGGTTCAATATCTCCAAGGAAGCATCTCAATCCCCTATAGCTTCTACCTTTGGAGTGGTCAGTGGCACCAAATCTACAAGAGGAATGAAATCCTCTTGCCACGACTGTGATTTGAACTAACGACCCTTTGGTCTCTAGTCCCTCCTTCACAAATAGATTGCTTGAAGACAAACATTTATAATTTGCTTTGTTTTTTCCCATAAGAACAGAAATACAGAATTTTTTTCTAATTTTTGTTTGTTTATTCTTTGAGTGATCATGTCAGATTTACAGTTTACACATGTTCAAATTTGTATGTAAAAATATGTGTGATCAGCTGATATTTACCTTATACCTCATTCATCCAATACTTTAGCAGGCTCCATGATAGGGCATCATTGTACAGTTCATAAATATACATACACAGTGTGTTTGAGGAATTTTTTTTGTAAGATTGCTTTCATCAAGCATTGCCAACAAAAAATAGAATATCGATTAATGATCACCTTTGAAATGCCACGTTTTATTGGCTGTTATTAGTGGTTATTTTTAATGGCCAATCAGATGTCATGAAACATGACATAGGGACAACCCAGTTTGAGAACATTTTTATTGTCACCTTACCAGTACTCTTGGTAATTTAAGCAATAAATCACTTGATGAAATGTTAATATTCTAACATTGTGACCAAATGGATCTTTTTAATCTAACACCTCAGCAAATATATGTAACAGACCATTATGTGTTTCGGAGCAGTCATTTTATCACATGAACTATCGCCTTACGTGGCCTTGCACCCAGATGAATTTGGATGCTCTAGCATGCTACACATGGAAGAAAACTGTGATTAATTTATTTAACATGAAATATTAAAAGAATAGATTTCATTGGCATTTCTACAAGCCAAACATTCTTCCGGATCTAAAACAACAACCCATCAATCCATCTGTGGATACCCATGTTTTGATATTGTTTGTTAAAAGAATTGTAATTCACCATCTATAGTAGGCCACACCTCAATGCAATTATTTTGATATGGAAGTCCAAACATACACATCTTATACTAGTAAAACGATAATTTCAAAATTATCACTTTTGAAGACTCATTTCTGATTTGAATGAAGAAGTGAGTTGCAGACTGTCATGTGCAAAAAAAAAAAAAAAAAAGTGTAATTGAAAAGTACAAACCCATATTCCACATATTAAAAGTATATTGGAATAGTTTTACAGTAGAAAATTATCACACAAACTGGTGAATGACAGATGGAGGGACAACACGATTACGTATAGTCCCCGCCGAGTTTCTAATTATATACCTACCCCAAGTTTTTGCCTCGGTGAACATCACTGCTGGCCAGAGAAGACATGGACCCTTGCTTCTTCAGCAGACGGGCCGCCTTGTCGCGTGCTACATCACTGGTCATGGTTGATTAGTTTATTGCACTGAAATATATGCAAATAAAATTATTTTCATAAAAAATTTTGTTGGAAATGAAAGTAAGACATTTATAGGTGTTACAATTTCAGCTAAAAGAAAATTAATTAGAAGATAGCTTTTAGCTCATCAGAATTGCCAACTTAGCATATGACATAGCATGGTGTCTGTCTTCCTTTGGTCAGAAACATCCTTGGAGGAAGGTAAACCAGTTTGAACAAGAAGCCCATAGGTACTATATTGTTCAACTGGTTTTGCTTGAGAGAAATTGCTTTATCCAAACTAAATGAAAAGGATTCTATGCTAATTTCCCTGTTAAGGTCTCGCTTTTGCTCCCAGAGTCATGACACCAATTTATAGCTACAGGGCTAATTATGTCGGTTGCTATGTTACCTAATGATGAAAATGAAAAATCACAAATGATTTTAAAATTGCATTGACGAGAGTGAAATATTTTCATAATACACAGCTGTAGTAAATTGTATCACCAATTTAGGTCATGACAAGTCATCCCATTCCTGACACTGGATTAATTATGTACTTGAAGAAGGTGTAAACTTCTATGTTTCCAGGGAAAACTGTGTAGCTGTTCCTAAGTATTTGTGGATCAGTAAAATTGTCCAATAAATCACATTGGACTAGTGTCATGGTAGCTGCTGTGTCCACTACTGCATTGCAACAGAGGTCATTATTCATTCCAATGTCACCGCTAGGAATTGAACCTAGGACCTTTGGCTTACGAGTCTGATGTTCAACCGATCGAGCTAAGGAGTTCTCTCTAGCGGAGTGGTATAGTGTGGCTAGTATTTTACCAGGGGTACAACTTGGACAGGAGTTCTGTTGAGGGTTAGTGGTATAGTGTGGCTAGTATTTTACCAGGGGTACAACTTGGACAGGAGTTCTGTTGAGGGTTAGTGGTAAAGTGTGACTAGTATTTTACCAGGGGTATAGCTTGGACAGGAGTTCTGTTGAGGGTTAGTGGTATAGTGTGGCTAGTATTTTACCAGGGGTATAGCTTGGACAGGAGTTCTGTTGAGGGTTAGTGGTAAAGTGTGGCTAGTATTTTACCAGGGGTATAGCTTGGACAGGAGTTCTGTTGAGGGTTAGTGGTAAAGTGTGACTAGTATTTTACCAGGGGTATAGCTTGGACAGGAGTTCTGTTGAGGGTTAGTGGTAAAGTGTGACTAGTATTTTACCAGGGGTATAGCTTGGACAGGAGTTCTGTTGAGGGTTAGTGGTAAAGTGTGACTAGTATTTTACCAGGGGTATAGCTTGGACAGGAGTTCTGTTGAGGGTTAGTGGTAAAGTGTGACTAGTATTTTACCAGGGGTATAGCTTGGACAGGAGTTCTGTTGAGGGTTAGTGGTATAGTTTGGCTAGTATTTTACCAGGGGTATAGCTTGGACAGGAGTTCTGTTGAGGGTTAGTGGTAAAGTGTGACTAGTATTTTACCAGGGGTATAGCTTGGACAGGAGTTCTGTTGAGGGTTAGTGGTAAAGTGTGACTAGTATTTTACCAGGGGTATAGCTTGGACAGGAGTTCTGTTGAGGGTTAGTGGTATAGTTTGGCTAGTATTTTACCAGGGGTATAACTTGGACAGGAGTTCTGTTGAGGGTTAGTGGTAAAGTGTGACTATTATTTTACCAGGGGTACAGCTTGGACAGGAGTTCTGTTGAGGGTTAGTGGTATAATGAGGCTGCTGCCCTCTATATTGTACTGGCAATAAGAGTTCCAAGACAACGAGGTGTATCATACACAGCGCCATTTATTGTAACCACATGGTTGTATTACTCAACACAAGACAATAGGCAGGTTCGATAGAGGAACCAATACTACGTGTACAATAGGTTCGGTAGGTGAACCATATAAATATTACTGTAACAAAATAGGGTTTTGATATATTGTTACAAAATGTGGTTTCGATAGTATTGTTAAATCACATACATAAGTCAATAATCTTTGACTGACTGGTTGATTAATTTTATCAATACGTAATATCCGGTAGACTGGAGGAGAATTATGAATGCACACCGATATTTCGTAACTGTATTTACAGTGGACAGCACTGATATCTTCTGATCATGTAAGTCTATTCTGTAAAACAGCTGGATTTTCATATGGGACTGGTTGAAATAAGTTAGCTTAAACAATAGTTTGTTTAATGTTCAATAGTATATCAATATAACACATATAGGTAGTTCACAGGGGTGTGGACAATTACTCGTATATATACATTTAGGTTGTTGTAGTCTGGGCCCCGAGAATCTTATTAGTGGATGTACAGCTTCGGCCAGTTAATCAATTAGAGACTATTCCCACTTCCTTGATAATCAAACTTATGCAATTTCCTGTTGGGACAGTGGTCACCTAGTAGTAGAGTAATTATTAGGGTCTATTTCAAGTAACAAATAAGCAGGGGGAATCTCAACCTTGCACCTCGAGTACAGGTGGCTATACTTCAACAATCGTATCATCTAGCAACAAGTGAAATCCATATTAGGGGATGGCCGCACAAGCTTGGTCAAAAGTAAGATAAAAGGGGAGATCTTTTTAGTTAGAACACATGGCCTTGGGGGAGCCAACCAGATAAACAGTTCTGATTGGAGACACAGCGCGAAGTGCTAGTATGAGTATATGAACTCTGTATGTTGATGAGATTTTGCTTTTGTACATGTAACATTATCATTATTCAACATGTAATAAACATGGCTATTACCAACAAGTATGTGTGTTTATGCCTGCTGAGTTACATTACGTTACACCCTCAACAACCACTAGCCTCATCCCTCTTATAGGCAATTGGTCCCTTGATAGTGTTGGCAATTGAGTTGCAGACCTTCATCTACCTGCTAAGTTTCCATTGGGTTCTAGGGATATGGAGCGAGGTCTCTGTGAGTTTTGGACCTCTATCCTTTCGTTGTTGCTCCGTCATTGATCCCAATAAAAGTCTGTACAGGGCCTAGTTTTCTATCCCTCTCTATATGTCCCTGATGAAATTGTGATCAGCCAGACATGGTGGCGTTTTTTATTGACACAAACATTTCATTTTATACACGATGTGGCCTTTCCATTGATAAAATGCCAGTTCGGAAGTACTTACAAATTGTTGTATTTGCACTCCGTTTCCTAAAAATGCGAATTAGGGACACTCTACTGAAATATGAATCTAAAATTATCGTTGATTCAAAAATATTGACGATTGTCCCGGTGTATATACTAGTATATTTTGTGAGGAAACGAAGAAACTTCGGTATTCGCCATCATATGCATATATACCATATGGGCATACGACTAAAATTCCGTATCGTGAAAATCGGAGAAATACGGCACACGCTCGTTTTGTTTATAACATTAAGTGATATTAGCGTGAACATCACGTGAAACAAATTTCTATCAAACTAATCCACACAAAAAACACAAGAGCATAAAAATTATCATATTTGAATGCCGAGTTATAAATTTATGACAGTAAATACATACCACTTCCACGTCTTATTTCAGTTCAGATGATACCGATGACAATGTGAAAATAGAAGAATGCAGTCAGTGTCTTCAGTTGCTTGGAGACTAGATGCTGTTTTGTGGCACGAAAGGCAATGTCTCGATTTCGGGACAGGTGCCCGTTACATGAAGTATTTTATTTTCATTTGTCAACAAATGTTTGGTTCATTTCTATACATATATATTGATCTCTGTTAATTTTTACACAATTTGTGCTATCAAATATATTGAAATGGTTCAAAATAGTAGAAATAAATATATTCGAATTTGTGCTCATGTATCCCTACGTGTCAATAAAAACGGGAAACACCTTTGCGTTATTCCAACATTAAACTGTAACAAGGATTTTCATTAACCGTGGAATTTCCTAACTGTCCAATCAGCGACGCCCTTCTAAGTATAATATCTGAGCAATATGGCTACCTGAGATGTCGTTGTGGCAGGGATCTGGTGGAACTAGCGTAGATAAACAATGTATTTTCCCATTGGATGGCCTAAATATTTAAAAGAAACGCAGAAAGATTCCCCCCAGCTTCACTATGTTATTAGTAACTGTGATAGAATGCTATTCGCTGTACTTTCGGAGGATACATTAAGTGTTTGGTATTGCAAGGTAAGAAACGAATGGTAAAGTGGTAAGGTATTCCACTACTATGCTCCCCATAACGATGTAATACTTCTTTGACCCGAGATCCATGTTCATCAGTTTGTATCCATTTATGCCATTGTACCATTTGTTATTTTTGTTGTCCTTCATAGTTTGCCACATAGGTTTTTAGACCGTTATGTCTTTCGGAGCGGGTAATATGTCAAGTTGTATCCTGTGAACTTTTGGGATCTTAGCCTGTGTGATAGCGTACTGGGTAAATTTAGGTCATTTACTTTATCATGGTCATGGTAAAGTGAAGCCCAGTAATTTTTGGGACTCATGATTTTCCTGTGGGCGTCACTCAAATTTTGAGAGCTCACTATATCAGTTACAGGGAATTCACTGTTGTGGTGGCTGTTTACCGTAAACACCTTTTCGTGATGGGTAGTTACAGGGAATTCACTGTTGTGGTGGCTGTTTACCGTAAACACCTTTTCGTGATGGGTAGTTACAGGGAATTCACTGTTGTGGTGGGTATTTACAGGGAATTCACTGTTGTGGTGGGTAGTTACAGGGAATTCACTGTTGTGGTGGGTATTTACAGGGAATTCACTGTTGTGGTGGGTATTTACAGGGAGTTCACTGTTGTGGTGGCTGTTTATCGTAAACACCTTTTTGTGATTGGTAGTTACATGGAATTCACTGTTGTGGTGGGTATTTATCGTAAACACCTTTTTGTGATGGGTAGTTACAGCGAATTCACTGTTGTGGTGGGTATTTACTATAAACACCTTTTTGTGATGGGTAGTAACAGGGAATTCACTGTTGTGGTGGCTGTTTATCGTAAACACCTTTTTGTGATGGGCAGTTACAGGGAATTCACTGTTGTGGTGGGTATTTACAGGGAGTTCACTGTTCTGATAGGTATTTACAAGGAATACCCCATTGTTTTGGGTTTTTACAGGAAGCTCCCAGTTTAGGTGGGTATTTAGATGGAACATCCTGTTGTGGTGGTCATTTACATGAGATTTTTGTTACAGCCCACAGTACAGATTGTAAACTACACACAGTCACAACGTGACCTTGCCTGTATTGGAGGATTCAGTGTGGCAGAATGGAAGCCCGACTCCTCAATGATTGCTGTCATGGTAAGATGATTATTTCTGCCTCAATCATAAGTTTATCAAATTTATGCTAATATGTTAAAGAAAATTAGTGTATCTATTATTAAATTTTATGAGTATTATTTTTAGCTCAGATGACACAAAGTGAGCTTATGGTATGATGAAGGGTCTGTTGTCCATTTACTTTTAACATCGTTAACATCTAAGCAAACTGAGTACTTATAATGGTTAATAACACTGACCTATTAATCAATAGTGGTCAAACTTTTAAGAGCTTCTCAAGTTCCAGAAGACCCAGAGGCTGAACATTACTCACATTTTCATTGAATTTACCGAAAATATGCCACAAAAATACTTAAAATGACATGCCTCCTAACACTTCTGTCAAAGCATATCAGAGATTTCAAAATATATTCTTGTGTACCTTAATGGTGCCTTAAAAGTCCCTAAAATATGCCTCCTTGCTACCCTGTCTAGGTATTAGGGGGGACTATTGTGGCTAGAAATCTATACCCCCATTACCATTGCAGTTTTCTGGAGGCTATTGTGATACTGTTATAATAGTTTTTAGGTCAACCAGTCTGAAGGACTGGTGAGATAATGCTATACAGCAGTATCTGTCATCTGTCTCAACTTCTCTCCTTTAAATCACTCTTAGTCAGTATGACTGAGAGGATTTTGACCAGATTTGGGCAAAAGCATCACTGGAGAAAGGTGGAACAAATTTTGTATAATTGGTGGGTCTCGGCCCCTAGGGGCCAAAGGTGCAGATGAACTATTTAAAGTTAATACATAAGTAAATAAAATTATTCAAAATTGTGTTCAGCTAGACATAAGTCAGATTTGTAATCATAATTTAAATGTCAGAATGAGACCCGCTTAATTTATTACTGACATTAATGGACAAGTAGCCAGAGGCATTTTGTGGTTACTAAACTACTACACATGTCCATGTAATAATTTGTTCCCTGGTTATATAAGTAATTACCTGAGGGCTATCTAAGTAGTCAGTAAGAAGGTCATTGTAACCTTATCCTGTGGAAAACAATCTAATCTATTACCATTTATGTGTATAAGACCATATCAGCTGCTCAAGTGTTATTTAATATTTATTGGCCTTTTGTATAATGGGTAATGTTGCTTTTCTAACACTTTCATGATGTTTAAGTCTGCAAAGATGGAGAAGAATTTTGTATAAACAGTGGTCTAGACACTGCGCGAGGGGCTAGGCCCAATAGGGGAAAAAGAGTGAATTCTGTAAATTTTGCCCAAATTTGGCTTGAAGCGCTCTTGGGTGAGGGGAGGGCCTTGTAGGTAAAATAGATGTAGGTGTTTTATACTTTTCCTTCCTTTAGTACAAATTAATCAGTTTCAGCAAACTAAACCAGCTGAGCAATACAGGCCTTATAGACCTCTTGGTTTTATTTTGTACATGTTGATTTTCCTAATGATTTACATCATACAATATATGTAAACTTTGGGAAAAAATCTTCAGTATTAAGACTTTCAGCAACAGCAGCACATATGAGAAATTTTTAATTCAATTACATGTACAGTCACAATGTTGTAATATTGATGTTTCACAGACGACCAGACAACATGTGATGTTTTTCAAAGTGGACCTGGATATTTCTGTCCCCAATCATCACTGCCTTTATGTACAACAGGAGGGCAGGTAAGTCATTTAGTACACTGGTGCCCTGATTTATGTTAATCTTTCCTTTTGTTTTTGCCGTGGAACATTTTCAGGTCTAAACATTGATTTGATAGAGAAGTCAATAAAGCATTCATAGAAAATTGAAAACAATAATTTTCAAGTTTGTATGCACCCAAGTTTGAAAGACAGAGGCCATAATGATTTTGGTCTGATTGTCAGTCGGTCTGCTTGTTTGTTTTAGGGTTTTTAGGGTTTTAGCTTACCTGGTCCGAAGAATTGGTGAGCTTATGCTGTGGCGAGGCGTCAAGCATCCAGTGTCCTTCAATTGTTTTTACCGAAAAATTACTGCTAGTCTTGAACGACTGAGTATATTTTGACCAAGTTTAAGCGGGCCCAAAAATGGGGGAAATTTTTCAAGTCCTTTCCTGTTGGAATGAATGGATATTGCCTAACATTGATCTGAAGCATCCTTGGGTAAAGGTGAATCAGTCTTATAAAAACGTTAGGCCTTGACCCCTTGGAGTTGGTGGGATGGGTCACAAAAGGGGAAATATATGAAATTCTTTAAAATCCTTGTCCTGTAGGAATGACAGAATTTTGCCCAAATTTGGTCTGAAGTGTTACTTAGTGAAGGGGAATCTATATGTATAAATAGTGGGTCTCATCCTTCTAGTGTTGGTGAGATGGGCTGTAATACGGCAAATACATAAATCTGGCTCAACTTTGGTATACCCACTGGAGCAGACATGGGGATTACAATCTGGAAAATAAAGCGAATTCACATTAATGTTCTTATTTTTTAGGAACAATTGAAATATTCTTAGGCGAAGGGATCTTACTTTTTTTTTGTAAATGATGCATTTGATTCCCATTGGGCAGAGGGGCATAGTTGGGGAAAAAGATATAAATCATTAAAATGCATTTCATTTAGTTTAAATGAAACACTTCCAGTGAATTAAACCAGGTGAGCGTTACAGGCCTCTTGTTACTTGCAGTTGCATCTCTAATATGGTATGTTGACATTGTTGTTTCCCTAGTGAGAACTTGTGTTTTCCTGACCTAGTGTTTATCATGGTAAACTACAGTAATGACTTATGTTACAGAGCTCACCCATCAAAACAGGACTTGAATGGTATTCCAGATAGTGACAGTGTTCCAGCCATCAAACTGACTGCTGTATTTCAGCTCAAACTCGCAAGTCAAATCACATGGTCAGTAACCAAATGCTTTTAGATGATTTGGATGTCATCAATGTACTACAGAGTATGGAGTTTAAGTTTCAAGATGTTAGCATAATAACAGCCATGAAAATTACTTGCCATACACATATTGACTTCCTAACACAGTTAAAAAAGACTGTAAAATTCGCTAATATCGCACAAAATTTGTATTGGAGGGGATAATATTACGAGATTTGATTGTTGCAAATGTTTGTTTACTGTTCAATAATTGAAGAAAATGCTGATTCTTACATTTGTAGAAAATAAATTAGTGTACATATACAAGCAAAATTAACTTACTGGGTATCACAACCTTGAGGAAACTGTTTAATTAACAAGAACTAGACAGAACTTCTAGCTATCTCCCTATAGACCAGGACTAGACAGAACTACTAGCTATCTCCCTATAGACCAGGACTAGACAGAACTACTAGCTATCTCCCTATAGACCAGGACTAGACAGAACTACTAGCTATCTCACTATAGACCAGGACTAGACAGAACTACTAGCTATCTCCCTATAGACCAGGACTAGACAGAACTACTAGCTATCTCCCTATAGACCAGGACTAGACAGAACTACTAGCTATCTCCTTATAGGCCAGGACTAGACAGAACTTCTAGCTATCTCCTTATAGACCAGGACTAGACAGAACTACTAGCTATCTCCTTATAGGCCAGGACTAGACAGAACTACTAGCTATCTCCTTATAGACCAGGACTAGACAGAACTACTAGCTATCTCCTTATAGACCAGGACTAGACAGAACTTCTAGCTATCTCCCTATAGACCAGGACTAGACAGAACTTCTAGCTATCTCCTTATAGACCAGGACTAGACAGAACTTCTAGCTATCTCCTTATAGACCAGGACTAGACAGAACTACTAGCTATCTCCCTATAGACCAGGACTAGACAGAACTTCTAGCTATCTCCCTATAGACCAGGACTAGACAGAACTACTAGCTATCTCCTTATAGACCAGGACTAGACAGAACTACTAGCTATCTCCCTATAGACCAGGACTAGACAGAACTTCTAGCTATCTCCTTATAGGCCAGGACTAGACAGAACTACTAGATATCTCCTTATAGACCAGGACTAGACAGAACTACTAGCTATCTCCCTATAGACCAGGACTAGACAGAACTACTAGTTATCTCCTTATAGACCAGGACTAGACAGAACTACTAGCTATCTCCCTATAGACCAGGACTAGACAGAACTACTAGCTATCTCCTTATAGGCCAGGACTAGACAGAACTACTAGCTATCTCCCTATAGACCAGGACTAGACAGAACTACTAGCTATCTCCCTATAGACCAGGACTAGACAGAACTACTAGCTATTTATAGGTCCAAGCATCAAATTTGTCCACACCTTTAAATGTCTTCTTCTGATTAACCAAAAGACACATATTTGGCTGATAGGTTCCTAGGATAAAGCCCAACCAATTTTATGAAAAGAAATGACCTTGACCTATATTCAAAATGACAGAGGTAGAAACATTTTTTTTCTGATTTACCATTCCCAGTGCAAGGTTTACAGGAGTCCAATTAATAGAGCTTAGTGTAAGAAGCTTAAAGCTATTTTAGAAATTGGTTAAAATTGATTGGGTGTGCCCACTTTGAATGCCAATGGTGTATATGTTAATATATTTGTAATGAACATTGATTGTATTTTTGATGAACATTGAATATCAGATGAGCAATGCAGGCCCATTTAGCCTCTTTATGTCTGTAGAATACACACAGAACTTTCTGTTGATATTATAGGTGTTTATGTGTGAGGGATGATCTTGTGGTCGCCACAGCTGATGGTTGTCTGAATCGGGTCAAGTGGAATGGCACACTCAATGCCAAGGTTTGCTTAGTCCTTCAGGATATTCCAGTATCTTTAGACTTCCAGAAAACAAAAGGTAGGTCTTTACTGTACCTATACATAGTAAGACTGTTAAGGTGCCATTTACATAGAGACTTAGTGATGTTATCAGAGTAGATGTACAAAGGAACTGTTGAGATATAAAGACATTTATGGTATTGCAATATGTAGTATATAAGATTGTAAATTATATAAATACATCTAGAGGTTGTAATTTGTAATGAAAATACTGTTTTTGAGTCAATTGTGTTGATAAAGAAATAGCAGCAACAAAATTGTGTTCTAGTGCATCTGTGTCTTTATGTGATCCTGTGCCATCTGTCAGTCTTAAGGCTTTCCACATTTTTTAGATCAAACTTGCCTGATATGATCCTTCGATGTTATTAACCAAGTTATATTAGATTTTTGGTAAATCCAGATTTCAATATGGCCACCATGGCTGCCATCTTGAGAAACACATTTGAACTTCTCAAATTTTATTGGTGCCATTGAGCTGAAAATTGGTGTTTAAGTTAGGGAAACAAAGCTTAAAAAGTGTTGATATTTAACATCCTTATGAATAAGAAAAAAAATTACCTGGTGGCTATGCTAGCCATTTTGTTGTAATATGATTGTGCAATCATGGCTATCCTGAATGCCTATTTTAAACTACTCCAGTTCCACCTGTAGGATTCAGCCTTAACTTTCCTGTAGGTAGAGTTGTTATTTTTTAGGTCCATCTAAAATCCAACAGCCAACTTTTGAAAAAACAAAACAAAACATTTTAGAATTTTTTTCCAGTAATGAGGTATTAAAGTCAGATGACTGTTATGGTCCTTACAATGTTCCAACTGTTTTATGAATTGGTAGATAGTGATATGGGGGACTCATATAGCTTAGATGTTTTCTTGTTTCTGTCAGGTCATTCTTTGAAAATATTTAATATAGTTGTAATACCTGATTTTATTGTTGTTCAATATTGTATGTTACAGCGGCCAAGCTGACAGCAAGTGACGGTCATGTTGTCCACATGGAGTACAGTCCCATTATTGGTGGCTACATCATGGTCCTGTCAAGTGGGCGTGGCTTGTTTGTTATGCCACCTTCCTCACGAGTTGACAACAGTGTATGCATAAACACCCTTTTTTTAAACTCATCAGATATATTACAGTGGAAACTACTTCATGTCAAGTCAGTTAATGTCACATTTTTTCCTAGATATTCTATGTAAACCAACATCTGATCAACACTTAACATCTCTTCATTTTGCCAACTATCACATAGAAATCACAGGTAAGTGTGAGCAAGAAGCATGGATTTATGTCTCAAGGGCAATACACTTCTTAACATGTAAAAACATCATCACTGACAGACTGGCCAACTCTTCACACTTTGTGACTTCCGAACGTTAGATTGGCCGGCTTACCTGTAAGGTCCAGCTAAATCCAGAAACGTCTGGTCATTTGCTTTTTAAATGACTAGCGCAAAGCTATGAAGATGCTAAAATAACTGAATTGAACTTCAAGTTTCATGAACTGAAGTCTCGATGAATTGAATATATAAAGTTATCACATGAATCCTGAAAAGCTTCACGAGGATGCTTTGCTGATACAGTAAACATCTTTCTTAAATAATTCGTTTGGGATATATAACATATCTTATGGAATTAAGATTGAAAATTCATATCAGTTGTGCCATGATGCTTTATTATGAAACCTGCACAGTAATGGATTAATTGTGTGGCATGATATCAGCTGAAGACACTGAAGTGTCACATACAAATTTGACTTCTTGTAAACTGTGAATGTGACATGATCGTTCACCATAATTTATCATAGCAGGTTAGATATTTCACAGAATAAACAAACGAATGCTAAGAAAAATCACTGTGCTTAAAGAAAAACAGAGCAAGTTACAAATTTCTATCTTCAAACAATTTCAGTAAGAAACAAGTCAGTCTGGTGCATCAGAAAATAAACTTCCATGTTTAGACATCAGGAAAAATGTGTCAACTATTAACATCACATTCTACGTATCACATTTTTCTCTCACAAATTAAACATGATATTAAGTGGTTTCCAATGTATTTAAAATCATTTTCCTACAAAAATATTTGAATATTTTTTTATTCATTTTCTTGTGAAACTACCTATATATTAACCAAGCAGGCAGCTTTTAAGTAAAAATTCACCAGTTGATGACCCTAACAACCTTTAATGTGTTAACAGGCCTTTATGACTTAAATTAAAATAAATTTAAGTAAAAATACAACTACAGATGAATTATCTTTAAATGATACACTTTTGTTGTAATGGTATGAATGGCATTGTCTAACTCTCTGACTTGACTACAGGCGGCTCAGGGTGTTTGGGTACAGGACTTGAAGGATGCCACTTGTCTTTGTGTGAACCATCGATACAGACTGATGGCCTTCGGCTGTTGTAGGTAGGTGATGACTAAAACTCATAATTTGTCCAGTAAAACCTTGCTAGGTCATCTGATCTGAAGGGTCAGGATGATCTATCGTTCTATCTGCTCTGTGTGCTGTGTGTAAGCTTTTTTTCCCGCTGTTTGAGGGGGATATTAAATTGGATTCTGTCCGCCCTGTCTGGCATGGGCATTTTCCAGACCAGAAGTATAAAACTGTTCAAGATAGTACTCGAGTAGTTCCTTTTGCTATGAACAAGTTATCCTTTTTGATGTTTATTGTGCAATGGTATGATGTACATCATTTGTCCATCAACATTTTACTAAAAATAGCTACTAGTCATGAGTGACTGAACAGAGTTTTACCAAATTTTGTCAGAATCATCCTTAAGGAAGCAAAAACAAGAAGGGAAAGTGGAAATAGAGTAAATTGTTTTAAAAAATGCTTCTCCTCTTTGGACCTTGTTTGACTGTTTAGGTCCGACATTAATTATTTTGATATTATGTTTAAGTGGTGATGGGCATGTGTATGCCATCAATGAACTGGAGGGGACCATTGAACTGTCACATAAGCTGACTGTATCCAGCAGGGATTATCCAGGTAAAGTCATCAGTTAAACTATCATATAAACAATGTTAAACAGGGATTATCCAGGTAAATTTATCAGTTAAACTGTCATATAAACAATGTTAAACCGGGATTATCCAGGTAAATTTATCAGTTAAACTGTTATACAAGCAATGTTAAACCGGGATTATCCAGGTAAAGTTATCAGATAAACCGTCATATAAACAATGTTAAACTGGGATTATCCAGGTAAATCTATCAGTTAAACTATCATATAAACAATGTTAAACATCCAGGTATAGTTAAACTATCATATAAACAATGTTAAACAGGGATTATCCAGGTAAAGTTATCAGATAAACCGTCATATAAACAATGTTAAACTGGGATTATCCAGGTAAAGTTATCAGTTAAACTGTTATATAAACAATGTTAAACTGGGATTATCCAGGTAAAGTTATCAGTTAAACTGTTCTATAAACAATGTTAAATCGGGATTATCCAGGTGAAATGTCGATGAGAATTCGTACACACAAGAATTCAGTTGTTTTGATTTTTTAAGAGATCTAAATTAAATCACCGATAATCTTCCAAATGTGTGTTTGTCCTGATCCAAAAGTTCAATGGAGATAGCTAATGCTGGTTTCGAAACTGGCGTAAAATGCATGATGGGATGCGAGAACTAATGCTACTTTGCCAAAAAGTGGTAAAGGGTATCTGGAGTATACACAAGTTAGCCACACGGTGTGGCCAAAATGGCCTGGAATCTTTGATAAGATTAGTAAGCATTTTTGTTGGTTTTAGTCAAGCTGACTCATGCATGTTCATAAAACAGAATCACATTTATATATTGTAGTGTACAAGCCACAAGTAAGTTTCATTTTTACCTGGACTTGACGAGAAAATGATGACAACATGTAGAAGCTCTCTTAATCTCGTAAATTTGGGTCTTATTAATGTTTTAGATAGATAATAAGTATTTAAAAGTTAGGAAGAATGTCTAGGTTATTTAATGTTAGAGAATTATTGAGATATCTTACTCGTGTATAGATGCAGCCCAGATTGCAGGCCCAGTGCGCTGTCTAAAGTGGACTCCAGATGGCACTGCACTTGCAATGTGCTGGAAAAATGGAGGGTTTTCCCTGTGGAGCGTGTTTGGTTCACTGTTGGTGTGCACACTTGGTGGGGACTATTGGTAGGTTGGCTGTGTTGATAAGTCTAATAGTTGTCAAGTTATTTATTCTTGTATAATGCATTAAGTCTACACAGAATGGTATTGTGATAACAGACAAGACTTTTTAGTAAGAGTAGGAGATGATCACAAATGAAAGAAATGAAAACATCAAAAATATCTATATACTGTTACATCCAGCTTTATTTCATGGTTTTTCAGTTTCCCAAATGATGGTGTTCGTCTGTTCCCACCTCCTATCTGTTCACTGGTAAGTTTATCTTAACAGCCTTTAAGGGCAGGCTTTTCCACTCTTTAACATAAAAAATGGGTGTACTACATAGTACATTGAGATTGCACATCCTTGATACTCTGGGGATTACAATTGCTTTTGCTCTCTGCACCCCGGGAACATTTCATGGCAAAGTTGAAAGTTCAAAATGAAACACTTTGTGGACAAGACAAAAAGACTTGAAGGATCCTTTGATGTACATCAAATGAATCACACGGTCACATAACGTATATTGTATTGACTTTGAAGTTGGGTGTTGCTTCTTTGTAATCTTCAAAAGGAGCATATCAGACTGTGATTGGTCAGTTTTTTCTCCTGGAACCAATCAAATTACTTCTCCTGTGCCTTCCATTTTGCCATGACATGTTCCAAATTCAAGGCTTACTATCCCTAGATTACAGAGTTATTGGCCTTTCTTAAGATTCTGTGTCCAAAGCATAACTTTGCTTTTCATTTAAATAATGCTAAGGATGAGCCCCAGAAGGGAACAAATCCTTTAAATCCCTCCTCTGAGTAATGGCTGGATCCTGTTGGAGATCGCAGTGGACTGTTGTATAAATGGTCTGAATCAGCTTTGTGTGAGAGGAAAATATTTCCATAGGAGATATTTCAAATCATATTGTTTGCATTACATGAACAATATAGATAAAGTTATCTTCCTTTTATGAACAAGCTGCTTTAAATGACATGTCAAAATAAAACCAAAATTTTCATAGAACTCAGGTAATGGTTTAGACACTTTGCCCCCTGTATTTTAAAGTGAAAAAAACAGTAAAATTTATTTTAGAAATGAAGGTCATTTTAAGATTATTTTAGAAATAAAGGTCATCCAGTGTTTTGAGTGACTGTTATGTCACATTTGTGTTTGCTTTTGTCAAAAATACAGTTTGTTTAACAGGAATGGGGACTAGAGGGCTACCAGTTGTGGATGGTGTGTGAGGCGTTGGAGACAGAGGAAGAGGGATATGTTGGTTACCATGGACACGGAAACATGTCACACATCATGCAGTTCCAATTTGTAAAGAGTGCTTTAACTGTCAATCCTTGTATGGTAAGTTGTTTTTAATTATTGTTCCTGTTTCTTGTTATATTTGAAGGTCTGTAGTGAAAGGTCTTCCTTCTACTAGCTCACATCATCTGTCAACTTTTTCTACAACTACGCAGATTTTAACCATTCAACAGTACAATTCCTGTCAGATAATTGGTAAATTGTATCTTTCGCTGACACCATTTGTCTTCGTTTCTAATATTGTGACAATGACTGATCTCAGTTGTTCCTCATCTGTAGATCAGCTTCAATAACACTTTAATTGTCGATAAAATCATTGATGGCTAAACTCTCCTCCTCTGTCCTACAAATGTTCTCTGTTGCTTTTCTGAAATACACTGTTGACTCCTTCCCCCAAGCGGAGAGCTACTACAACTATTCTTTTGTTTTTTGTGTTGGATTTCCAGTATATAAGGCAGCAGTTTCCAAGCTGATCTTTAATTCACAAAATGTGAGCTCGATGCAGTGCTATATTGCCATTTGTTATGTTCCTTTTTACTGTGTCATCGAACAGGATAATTTTCCATCGTTAAACATCACATGAAACTGTGTGATCACGGATTAGCTGTTCACAACCTAGGTTCATCTTTCTTGCTCAAATGGAACTGACAAAAATTGGTGTCACTGGGTTGGGTTAAGGAGATTTAAAGGGAAATAAGAGGTAAACAAGGTAAGGATATTATTTTGTCTTCCATCTACAGGCAAACCATGAACACATTTTCCTACAAGGGGAGGACAAACTCTACATGAACACCAGTGATGTTTCCCAGAAATCTACTAGTCGCACTGAATCTCACTTACTTGTGGGCAACAAACATTGGCACATCATACCCATTTCCCATAGTTACCTCGCCACCAACTGGCCAATCAGGGTAAGTGTTACATAAACACTGGCACATCATAGTTACTTCGCCACCAATCAGGCTAAGTGTTACATAAACACTGGCACATCATAGTTACCTCGCCACCAATCAGGCTAAGTGTTACATAAACACTGGCACATCAACCAGACCCTTAGCCTTTTTATTGTATATATTTCACACATCAGCAAGGTGTATGAAATATATACCATATATGTTGTATTATATCAAAATAACTAATATCTCCTATGGACTATACCATAATAAAGGTTTATCTTTTTACTTAATTGATATTAAGAAATTCAGTCGATGGAATATCACAATAAGCAGCATATCATAATATCAGATATTATAATAAGTGGTCTTCACTGTAATACATATTATTGTATAGACATAGATATACACATCAGAATATATCCCAACTATATCCAGATTCCTCCATTAAAGCATGACGTCATCAACTTGTGAGTTTATTGTTGATCTTTACATTCTGTTGGTTGTCATAACGTTGAAGACCTTTATTCGCTCGGATATGTTATAGTATGCAGCAGTGGACAGAAGTGGTCAATACTTGGCTGTTGCCGGCAAGACTGGACTTGCCCATTATAACTTTCTTAACAGAAAGTGGAAGCTCTTTGGTAACGAAACACAGGTAAGAAAGTTGGCCTATATTTCAAGATATAAATATATATGCTTATTCAATACTTGAGTTAATTTTTCTTTCCATTCTATATACAGACAATTTCATATTCATTGATGATACAACAATTTGATCTCAACAAACAGCAAATACTAAAACTGAGTTTAAATAAAAAGAGACATTTTCATTTATAAAACAGAATGTTTTCATTCATTAAACAAGAATAGAACTTTTAACAGAGATTTACAAGAAATGAGCAATGATTAATTCTGTTTTGTCTCTGATAGATATGTATACCTTCATGTATATGTATTTTACAGATAGATTTAGAATGAAATGATCCACAACACAAAGTAGGTGTTAAATGTTCCAGCAATTATTCAAAGAGTGATACTTGATTAATTGAATTAAATAAAATATCAGAATTTTTTTTGTCAAGAATTGAAGACATGTTTTTATTATAGATACTGAAAACTGAAAAGTAAATACATGATAAAAGTCACCAGGATTTGTATGTTTTTACACTTTCGTTAGTTAGATTATTATAAAATGGTGGCGATGAATGTCTAACAACATCCAATTGTTGTTGGTTAATGTCATAACTTGTAAGTAAGCAATTAAATTTTAATCTTTGTCTAGTCTTTAATTGATCTTGTAACACAGAGTAAACGGCAGTTTTCTTTAGTAATGCCTTTGTCTTGTAATGCCTTTGTCAGGTAGTGCCTTTGTCAGGTAATGCCTTTGTCAGTTAGTGTCTTTGTCAGGTAGTGCCTTTGTCAGGTAGTGTCTTTGTCAGGTAATGCCTTTGTCAGGTAGTGTCTTTGTCAGGTAATGCCTTTGTCAGGTAGTGCCTTTGTCAGCTAGTGCCTTTGTCAGCTAGTGCCTTTGTCAAGTAATGCCTTTGTCAGGTAATGTCTTTGTCAGGCAATGCCTTTGTCAGCTAGTGCCTTTGTCAGGTAATGCCTTTGTCAGGTAATGTCTTTGTCAGGAAGTGCCTTTGTCAGGTAATGCCTTTGTGGAAACGTGTAAAATTCTGCCAAAACTACAGTATATCACTTACATTTTGCATGGGATTTATTTTCAAATTAATAAGTGAGGAGATTAAATTCTTAATTCAAATTTCTCACTATTATTTGTGCAAACAATATCAATCCATATATCTAGTTGCCCATCATTTTGGAATTTAAAGTAATTTTGCGACCATAGTTCCCAAATTATGTATTTCGCTAATGTGTCTGAAGAAGTCAGTTTATGAAATAAATCACAATACCTAAGTGATTTACAGTGTGTATTTGCAGTACAAATAAATTAAGAATCATCAGATGTCAGTGACTCTACTATCATAGTCAAAGATCCAGGGAAAAACTCTGATACATGGAAATGCATTAAATGATACAAATCTTTGTTGATGTATTTTGGTAGGTACATCAATGTCATTTCAGGTCATCAGTGTGACGATTTTGTACATGTGACTCCGGAGGTATTGATAATGACCTGATGTATTTGTTTGTTATAGGAACGAGACTTGGTGGTATCTGGGGGTATGGCTTGGTGGAAAGATTTTATATGTGTGGCATGTTACAACATTGTTGGGCAGAGAGATGAGGTAAGATGTTGTGAGATAAAGATCCTTCTGTTATTCTTGATCTTTCAGGAGTTACAATCACTTTAGATTTCATCACCTAAGGACATTGTCATTGCAAGCTTGATGTAAAACATGGAAATAGCAAAGAAATTTCCCTTTTCGATTGAGAATTGTTTGAAGCACCAGCATTCATCCTCATAGCAACCGTAGATGTTGTCATGGATACATATGATGGAAATCAATGAGAAAAGCCATGAAGAGATATCTGGCTGGAAGCTTTGTCTTAACACACACAAGTGTCAGCAATCATAGTCAACATGTGCATGTAACTAAACAATGTTAACGAAAACAATGGATATTGTAGCATACTAATAACATTTCTAGTGTCACTGACACAGACACATTGACACTGATGGAGAATTGGGGGTTATCTCAAAACCATACTAATAGACATTTCTGGTGTCACCAAAACAGACACATGATGGAGAATTGGGGAGTATCTTAAAACCATACTAATAGACATTTCTGGTGTCACCAAAACAGACATATTGACACTGATGGAGAATTGGGGAGTATCTCAAAACCATGCTAATAGACAATTCTGGCATCACCAACACTGACAAAGACACATTGACTTGACACTGACAGAGAATTGGTGGGGGGGTTAGGGGCGGGGGGGGGGGGGCATCTAAAAAACATACTAATTGTCATTTCTTGTACTTTAATTGGCAGCATTCCATTTTCATATACTGTACATGTATAGTCAAAATGTTTGGCATTTTATGTTTTTAAAGTACAAAGTAGAACTATTTTCTCCAAAATTTACTAATTGCCATAAACAACTGATTGGATTTTACCACATTTGGTTAGAAGCAGTCTTTAAGAATGCAATCAAATTTTGTATAAATAGTGGGTCTCTGTACCAGGGGGCCTGAGGGGGAGTTCCAAAAACGAGAAATTTTGACATCCCATTCCTCCAGTAGGATTGATTAGATTTTGCCCAAATTTGGTCTGAAGCATCCTTGGGTGAGGGAAATCAGTTTCATATGAATGATGGATCTTGGCCCCCTGGGCAACTGTCGTCTCTAGAATTTTGGGATGGAAGGGAATCCATTTGTATGAGATTTGGATCTTTGGTGTTAGGTGTGAAGTCCAATAGGGAAAATAGGAGGAATTCTTTAAAATCCTACTCCTTTAGGAATGATAGGATTTACTCCCAAGTTTGGTCTGAAGCATTCTTGGATGAAAGAGATGCAAAAGAAAACCCTTGACAGCACTCCAGTAACTTCATTCCTTTAGAAAAGTTACACAAATTTGACCATCTCCATTAATAACTTTATTTGAAGTGGAACTGCAAGGGTTTGTTTTAATGCTATATTGATTATGTCTGTCAATGCAATAGGATAAGATTATTATGAAAATAATGGGTTATGTATGTCTCTTTTTTATTCCAGATAAAGTGCTATCCACGTAGCTGTAAACTTGATAACACCTTCGCCGTTAGTACAAAGGTGCCTTCCCAGGTTCTGTTACTGAACACATTCCGAGATGTCCTAATTGTGTTCTGTATAGACTCTCATATCATGTTATACAATCTGGAGAGAAAAAATACCCAATCCAGTAAGTTACAATCATGTTGGTAAAGATAAAATGTTGGAAAATTTGATATTTTATAAAAGACATGAACTCTTACAGTATGTTGTACATGATTCATTATTTGTTGTCTTTTTGGCTCGGAGTATCAGGACTTTTCATTCCCCTCACTCAGCTTTCCTCAAGAATCATTTCTTCAGATACTCTGCAAAGTGACCAAGTACTCCAGTTTCTGACACACGTTTAAATAACAATATGTTTGATGTTGTAGATCTGATGTTGGAAATAAATAAAGTACAGGAGGTTTCTTTGAACAACTATGTGCCACATCCAGTGTGTGTGACAGGATTGGCCCTTACCTCATTAAAGACAGAATATGGTAGGGGTGTTTTATATGTTGGTGATTTGATCCTCATCGATACAGTCTTATCAGGGTTATGTTTACATAATATTGATGAGTTCATGTGATGTAGTATATAATTAGAGAGGATAGTATGGTTGGTTTTATACATAATCTATCTTATACTTCATTAATTGCAGGATATTGTCCAAATCTGGTACATCCTGCTTGGGTGAAGTGAAATCAGTTTTTTAGAAACAATGCATCAAACCCCCTTTTGGAGGAGGGACAAACCTAATAGGGGAAATAGATACAAGTGTTTCAATACTTTTCCTATAGTTTAGATTGATCATTTTAAACAAACTAAACCAGTCGAATGGTACAGGCCATAAAAGCCTCTTGTTTAAGTGCACAGCATGAAATAATGGGAGAGAACTCTCCCTGAACAATAGATGGTATTTTGCGGACATAAATCAGATTATCAATAATATGTTATGCTATGTATATCTTTCTTGAAAGTGAAATACTATTTATAGTACCTCTTTTTACAGGTACAAGGTCCCAACATCACAACAAGGAGGCAGAGAGCTTACTACTAAGTGTGGCAGGCAAACTGCTTATGTTCCAACGAGATTTGTCAGGGCCACAGATCAAAGATCCCAACCAAACCAAACACAAACTTGTAAGTTCTGATTTATTGGTTAATCTAGTACACCCTTTTTAGGTCACCTGAAACAAAGTCTTATGGTGACTTATTGTGATACCCTTTTGTCCAATATCGTCCGTCTTGCATCTGTAAACTATTCACATTGTGAACTTCTGGAAAACTCCTGAATTGATTTCAATGAAATTTGTTAGAAACCTTGCCAAAGGTAAATATAAATTGTAAATCATATGGTCCCCATCCCCCAGGAGCCTGAGGTGCTGGGCCAAAAAGGATCAAATTTATTGAAATTTATAAAAATCTCCTTTTCCATGCCCGAATATGTTTGAATCAGGTTCTCTTCATAAATGGAAGTGTCTTCTGGTCTCACATTTGCCCCTTGGGAGGGTTAAAAGTTTATTATAGTTTATATAGGAAAATCACATTTTTGAGCATAATTTGTGTATTTTCTGTTGGAAATAGATCAAACTTGGTTAGTATTGGTAGTATAGGATGACATTTTCTTATCATGCACATATTGACCCTGGCTGACCCCTTGGGGCGGGTGTAAAGTTCACTGAAGTTTATATATGAAAATGACATTTTTAGCTAACCTGTTTAATGAAGTTCTGTTATGTCAAATTTCTCTTTCCAGCCACAATTTTGTCCACCTTCAGTTGTAGCCACCAGCATGGAGAACATGTGGACTACATCACGAGCAAATCAGGGTAAAATGCAGCTAATGGAGGCTTTATGGTTAGGCTGTGGGGCTCAGGGAATGAAGGTTTGTATAGCAGAATGTTGTATAGTATGGTTAGGCTGTGGGGCTCAGGGAATGAAGGTTTGTATAGCAGAATGTTGTATAGTATGGTTAGGCTGTGGGGCTCAGGGAATGAAGGTTTGTATAGCAAAATGTTGTATAGTATAGACTTCTGCGTACTGGTGAAACAAACCCACTTCTCCCCGCCAATTGTGTGTGAGTTGCTTATCATATTACACATTATTTAAGGCTGCAGTGAACCTACTCTGATGAGTTGGTAGTTAAAGTTCCAAGGTTAAGGCCACAGGCTATATATAAATAGATGTAGTGGGTTGTTACAACATGATTCTACCTAAATATGACCAACAATGAATATTTAATGTTCTGTTACTGTAAAATTGAATGGGAAATTTTAAGTATTCATATCCAAATGCCCATGATCAGAAAAAATATCTTGGATATGGGTCATGCGTACAGTGGATATGGGTCATGTGTACAGAAGATCAAAATTCCTACCTTAAGCAATATACACTAAACACAAATGTTTCCCAGCTTCAAATTCATCTCTGTTTGTATGTTCCCTATAAAATGCCTAACTCTCTGTTTGTATGTTTCCTATAAAATGCCTTATTCTCTGTATGTACTGTATAAAATGCCTTATTCTCTGTATGTACAGTATAAAATGCCTAACTCTCTGTATTCTCTCTATGTACTGTATAAAATGCCTTATTCTCTGTATGTACAGTATAAAATGCCTTATTCTCTGTATGTACAGTATAAAATGCCTTATTCTCTGTATGTAAAGTATAAAATGCCTTATTCTCTGTATGTACTTATTCTCTGTATGTACTGTATAAAATACCTTATTCTCTGTATGTACTGTATAAAATGCCTTATTCTCTGTATGTACTGTATAAAATGCCTTATTCTCTGTATGTACTGTATAAAATACCTTATTCTCTGTATGTACTGTATAAAATGCCTTATTCTCTGTATGTACTGTATAAAATGCCTTATTCTCTGTATGTACTGTATAAAATGCCTTATTCTCTGTATGTACAGTATAAAATGCCTTATTCTCTGTATGTACAGTATAAAATGCCTTATTCTCTGTATGTACAGTATAAAATGCCTTATTCTCTGTATGTACTGTATAAAATGCCTAACTCTCTGTATGTACTGTATAAAATGCCTTATTCTCTGTATGTACTGTATAAAATGCCTTATTCTCTGTATGTACTGTAGAAAATGCCTTATTCTCTGTATGTAAAGTATAAAATGCCTTATTCTCTGTATGTCCTCTATAAAATGCTGAACTCTCTGTCTCCAGGTGTGGTTACCACTCTACCCTCGTGATGAAACTAAGACATTAAATTTTATGTCCAAAAGAATCATGCTGCCGTTTAGAGTGGACATTTATCCATTAGGTAAGACTGTTATTCCATTGACATGTAAATCCATGATCATCTTGTATTCTGTGATAAAGCAAATTTCCTCATGTACTTTTTTCAATGAATAGTTTAACTTTTGTCAATTTTGCCCTTTTGCCAGGAAGATGAAAATAACTTGAAGGCTGAAGAATTTATTTAAAGCTGAAGTATTATCAGCTTGAGCCAGAGGTTTATGTGAGGTATTGCTCTGATGCTCCATCCACTGGCTAAAATTCATCGTCCATTAACGTTGCTGGACAGATTTTGATGAAATTTCGTGTGAATGATCAGTATTGTGATGTTATGTTTTGTATTGTAGCGGTACTGTTTGAGGACACTGTGATGTTATGTTTTGTATTGTAGCGGTACTGTTTGAGGACGCTGTGATGTTGTGTTTTGTATTGTAGTGGTACTGTTTGAAGACGCTGTGAAATTGTGTTTTGTATTGTAGCGGTACTGTTTGAGGACGCTGTGATGTTGTTTTTTGTATTGTAGCGGTACTGTTTGAGGACACTGTGATGTTATGTTTTGTATTGTAGCGGTACTGTTTGAGGACACTGTGATGTTATGTTTTGTATTGTAGCGGTACTGTTTGAGGACGCTGTGATGTTGTTTTTTGTATTGTAGCGGTACTGTTTGAGGACGCTGTGATGTTATGTTTTGTATTGTAGCGGTACTGTTTGAGGACGCTGTGATGTTGTTTTTTGTATTGTAGCGGTACTGTTTGAGGACGCTGTGATGCTGTGTTTTGTATTGTAGCGGTACTATTTGAGGACGCTGTGATGTTGTGTTTTGTATTGTAGTGGTACTGTTTGAAGACGCTGTGAAATTGTGTTTTGTATTGTAGCGGTACTGTTTGAGGACGCTGTGATGTTGTTTTTTGTATTGTAGCGGTACTGTTTGAGGACACTGTGATGTTATGTTTTGTATTGTAGCGGTACTGTTTGAGGACACTGTGATGTTATGTTTTGTATTGTAGCGGTACTGTTTGAGGACGCTGTGATGTTGTGTTTTGTATTGTAGCGGTACTGTTTGAGGACGCTGTGATGTTGTGTTTTGTATTGTAGTGGTACTGTTTGAAGACGCTGTGAAATTGTGTTTTGTATTGTAGCGGTACTGTTTGAGGACGCTGTGATGTTGTTTTTTGTATTGTAGCGGTACTGTTTGAGGACACTGTGATGTTATGTTTTGTATTGTAGCGGTACTGTTTGAGGACACTGTGATGTTATGTTTTGTATTGTAGCGGTACTGTTTGAGGACGCTGTGATGTTGTTTTTTGTATTGTAGCGGTACTGTTTGAGGACACTGTGATGTTATGTTTTGTATTGTAGCGGTACTGTTTGAGGACGCTGTGATGTTGTTTTTTGTATTGTAGCGGTACTGTTTGAGGACGCTGTGATGTTATGTTTTGTATTGTAGCGGTACTGTTTGAGGACGCTGTAATGTTGTTTTTTGTATTGTAGCGGTACTGTTTGAGGATGCTGTGATGTTGTGTTTTGTATTGTAGCGGTACTGTTTGAGGACGCTGTGAAATTGTGTTTTGTATTGTAGCGGTACTGTTTGAGGACGCTGTGATGTTGTGTTTTGTATTGTAGCGGTACTGTTTGAGGACGCTGTGATGTTGTTTTTTGTATTGTAGCGGTACTGTTTGAGGACGCTGTGATATTGTGTTTTGTATTGTAGTGGTACTGTTTGAGGACGCTGTGATATTGTGTTTTGTATTGTAGCGGTACTGTTTGAGGACGCTGTGAAATTGTGTTTTGTATTGTAGCGGTACTGTTTGAGGACGCTGTGATGTTGTGTTTTGTATTGTAGTGGTACTGTTTGAGGACACTGTGATGTTATGTTTTGTATTGTAGCGGTACTGTTTGAGGACGCTGTGATGTTGTTTTTTGTATTGTAGCGGTACTGTTTGAGGACGCCGTGATATTAGGTGCTGCCGGTGATGCTATAACTTACCAGTACCATTCAGCAAATGATGCTTCGCCAAAGAAACCTACACATATTCTACCTTTCTGCATTCTGGAAAGAACTGTAAGTAAAACAAATGTTAATGAATATAGATATATATAGATATATATAGATATAATATATATTGATGTCGTTTTCTCCAGGCCTGGATTTATATAATACACTTACACTGGTACACATTAATTGTTCAGAAAGTCCCAAAACTACTCAGTTATCAATTTTTGTTCATAATGGAGAAACAAGTATAAAATTTTGTATTTTATTATATATATATGTAAAATTACTTACCATTTTTCACAGTTTGGTGTTTCCTATCTTAATGCATCATTAATTCTTTATTCTGACCTCCAACAAATCTGTTGTAGAAATGATGAATGTTTATTTTGAGACAGTGATGGTTGTCTGGGGTTGCTGGGTTGTAGAAATGATGAATGTTTATTTTGAGACAGTGATGGTTGTCTGGGTTGTAGAAATGAGGAGTGTTTATTTTGAGACAGTGATGGTTGTCTGGGGTTGGTGGGTTGTAGAAATGATGAATGTTTATTTTGATGCTGTGATGGTTGTCTGGGGTTGGTGGGTTGTAGAAATGATGAATGTTTATTTTGAGACAGTGATGGTTGTCTGGGTTGTAGAAATGAGGAGTGTTTATTTTGAGACAGTGATGGTTGTCTGGGGTTGCTGGGTTGTAGAAATGATGAATGTTTATTTTGAGACAGTGATGGTTGTCTGGGTTGTAGAAATGAGGAGTGTTTATTTTGAGACAGTGATGGTTGTCTGGGGTTGGTGGGTTGTAGAAATGATGAATGTTTATTTTGATGCTGTGATGGTTGTCTGGGGTTGGTGGGTTGTAGAAATGATGAATGTTTATTTTGAGACAGTGATGGTTGTCTGGGGTTGGTGGGTTGTAGAAATGATGAATGTTTATTTTGAGACAGTGATGGTTGTCTGGGGTTGGTGGGTTGTAGAAATGATGAATGTTTATTTTGATGCTGTGATGGTTGTCTGGGGTTGGTGGGTTGTAGAAATGATGAATGTTTATTTTGAGACAGTGATGGTTGTCTGGGGTTGGTGGGTTGTAGAAATGATGAATGTTTATTTTGAGACAGTGATGGTTGTCTGGGGTTGGTGGGTTGTAGAAATGATGAATGTTTATTTTGAGACAGTGATGGTTGTCTGGGGTTGCTGGGTTGTAGAAATGATGAATGTGTATTTTGAGACAGTGATGGTTGTCTGGGGTTGGTGGGTTGTAGAAATGAGGAGTGTTTATTTTGAGACAGTGATGGTTGTCTGGGGTTGGTGGGTTGTAGAAATGATGAATGTGTATTTTGAGACAGTGATGGTTGTCTGGGGTTGGTGGGTTGTAGAAATGAGGAGTGTTTATTTTGATGCTGTGATGGTTGTCTGGGGTTGGTGGGTTGTAGAAATGATGAATGTTTATTTTGAGACAGTGATGGTTGTCTGGGGTTGGTGGGTTGTAGAAATGATGAATGTTTATTTTGAGACAGTGATGGTTGTCTGGGGTTGGTGGGTTGTAGAAATGATGAATGTGTATTTTGAGACAGTGATGGTTGTCTGGGGTTGGTGGGTTGTAGAAATGAGGAGTGTTTATTTTGAGACAGTGATGGTTGTCTGGGGTTGGTGGGTTGTAGAAATGATGAATGTGTATTTTGAGACAGTGATGGTTGTCTGGGGTTGATGGGTTGTAGAAATGATGAATGTTTATTTTGAGACAGTGATGGTTGTCTGGGGTTGGTGGGTTGTAGAAATGATGAATGTGTATTTTGAGACAGTGATGGTTGTCTGGGGTTGGTGGGTTGTAGAAATGAGGAGTGTTTATTTTGAGACAGTGATGGTTGTCTGGGTTGTAGAAATGATGAATGTTTATTTTGAGACAGTGATGGTTGTCTGGGGTTGGTGGGTTGTAGAAATGATGAATGTTTATTTTGAGACAGTGATGGTTGTCTGGGGTTGCTGGGTTGTAGAAATGATGAATGTTTATTTTGATGCCGTGATGGTTGTCTGGGGTTGGTGGGTTGTAGAAATGATGAATGTTTATTTTGATGCTGTGATGGTTGTCTGGGGTTGGTGGGTTGTAGAAATGATGAATGTTTATTTTGATGCTGTGATGGTTGTCTGGGGTTGGTGGGTTGTAGAAATGATGAATGTTTATTTTGATGCCATGATGGTTGTCTGGGGTTGGTGGGTTGTAGAAATGAGGAGTGTTTATTTTGAGACAGTGATGGTTGTCTGGGGTTGCTGGGTTGTAGAAATGATGAATGTTTATTTTGAGACAGTGATGGTTGTCTGGGGTTGCTGGGTTGTAGAAATGATGAATGTTTATTTTGATGCTGTGATGGTTGTCTGGGGTTGGTGGGTTGTAGAAATGATGAATGTTTATTTTGAGACAGTGATGGTTGTCTGGGGTTGGTGGGTTGTAGAAATGATGAATGTTTATTTTGAGACAGTGATGGTTGTCTGGGGTTGCTGGGTTGTAGAAATGATGAATGTTTATTTTGAGACAGTGATGGTTGTCTGGGGTTGGTGGGTTGTAGAAATGATGAATGTTTATTTTGATGCTGTGATGGTTGTCTGGGGTTGGTGGGTTGTAGAAATGATGAATGTTTATTTTGAGACAGTGATGGTTGTCTGGGGTTGGTGGGTTGTAGAAATGATGAATGTTTATTTTGAGACAGTGATGGTTGTCTGGGGTTGGTGGGTTGTAGAAATGATGAATGTTTATTTTGAGACAGTGATGGTTGTCTGGGGTTGCTGGGTTGTAGAAATGATGAATGTTTATTTTGAGACAGTGATGGTTGTCTGGGGTTGGTGGGTTGTAGAAATGAGGAGTGTTTATTTTGAGACAGTGATGGTTGTCTGGGGTTGGTGGGTTGTAGAAATGATGAATGTGTATTTTGAGACAGTGATGGTTGTCTGGGGTTGGTGGGTTGTAGAAATGAGGAGTGTTTATTTTGATGCTGTGATGGTTGTCTGGGGTTGGTGGGTTGTAGAAATGATGAATGTTTATTTTGAGACAGTGATGGTTGTCTGGGGTTGGTGGGTTGTAGAAATGATGAATGTTTATTTTGAGACAGTGATGGTTGTCTGGGGTTGGTGGGTTGTAGAAATGATGAATGTGTATTTTGAGACAGTGATGGTTGTCTGGGGTTGGTGGGTTGTAGAAATGAGGAGTGTTTATTTTGAGACAGTGATGGTTGTCTGGGGTTGGTGGGTTGTAGAAATGATGAATGTGTATTTTGAGACAGTGATGGTTGTCTGGGGTTGATGGGTTGTAGAAATGATGAATGTTTATTTTGAGACAGTGATGGTTGTCTGGGGTTGGTGGGTTGTAGAAATGATGAATGTGTATTTTGAGACAGTGATGGTTGTCTGGGGTTGGTGGGTTGTAGAAATGAGGAGTGTTTATTTTGAGACAGTGATGGTTGTCTGGGTTGTAGAAATGATGAATGTTTATTTTGAGACAGTGATGGTTGTCTGGGGTTGGTGGGTTGTAGAAATGATGAATGTTTATTTTGAGACAGTGATGGTTGTCTGGGGTTGCTGGGTTGTAGAAATGATGAATGTTTATTTTGATGCCATGATGGTTGTCTGGGGTTGGTGGGTTGTAGAAATGATGAATGTTTATTTTGATGCTGTGATGGTTGTCTGGGGTTGGTGGGTTGTAGAAATGATGAATGTTTATTTTGATGCTGTGATGGTTGTCTGGGGTTGGTGGGTTGTAGAAATGATGAATGTTTATTTTGATGCCATGATGGTTGTCTGGGGTTGGTGGGTTGTAGAAATGAGGAGTGTTTATTTTGAGACAGTGATGGTTGTCTGGGGTTGCTGGGTTGTAGAAATGATGAATGTTTATTTTGAGACAGTGATGGTTGTCTGGGGTTGCTGGGTTGTAGAAATGATGAATGTTTATTTTGATGCCGTGATGGTTGTCTGGGGTTGGTGGGTTGTAGAAGTGATGAATGTTTATTTTGATGCTGTGATGGTTGTCTGGGGTTGGTGGGTTGTAGAAATGATGAATGTTTATTTTGATGCCGTGATGGTTGTCTGGGGTTGGTGGGTTGTAGAAATGATGAATGTTTATTTTGAGACAGTGATGGTTGTCTGGGGTTGGTGGGTTGTAGAAATGATGAATGTTTATTTTGATGCCATGATGGTTGTCTGGGGTTGGTGGGTTGTAGAAATGATGAATGTGTATTTTGAGACAGTGATGGTTGTCTGGGGTTGGTGGGTTGTAGAAATGATGAATGTTTATTTTGAGACAGTGATGGTTGTCTGGGTTGTAGAAATGATGAATGTTTATTTTGAGACAGTGATGGTTGTCTGGGGTTGGTGGGTTGTAGAAATGATGAATGTTTATTTTGATGCCGTGATGGTTGTCTGGGGTTGGTGGGTTGTAGAAATGAGGAGTGTGTATTTTGAGACAGTGTCTGGGGTTGCTGGGTTGTAGAAATGATCAGGACCCTGAAGTTGTTGCTCTGTTATAAGTTTCTATACACCATGTCTTACAGATCATTTTCATTTCTGTTTCAGAGTCAAATATATCTTCATCATATTCTCAGACAGTTGTTACGAAGGAAGTAAGTAAACTAATGCGTCTAGCTTGTAACGCTTGCTCACTGTTGATTATCAATGATTATAGAAGGTTATAAGTTATAAGGAAGTAAGTAAACTACTGTGTCCAGGGCTCTCACACCCCAGTTTTGGACTTGGGCCCAGGGGCCTTAGAATCGGGGAAAATAGCGGCGTTTTCCTTAGAATTAGGAACACTTGGGGTCTAAATTGGGAAAAAAAAGATATTATATTGCATTGGGAATTCGGCCCCAAATCTGGCAGATCAAGAGCCCTGGCGTCTAGCTTGTAACGCTTGCTCACTGTTGATTGTCAATGGTTATAGAAGGTTATAAGGAAGTAAGCATGATACCAAAGAACACCTATATACTCCTGATATTTGTCTCACCAGATTCACCATATTTCACCTTGATTTGTTTAAACAAAATCAATATTGCATAAATTGTGGGTCTCTGCCCTTGGGACAAGAGCGGCTGGGCCAACTAGGGGAGGTTGAGCAAATTCTTAAAAATCCTACTACCCCAGTGGGAATGATTGGATTATGACCAAATTTGATTTGAAGCGTCCTTGAGTGGACAGGACCCAAATTAGTATAAATAGTGAACCTTGAACCCCAGAGACAGGATGTAGGAATGATTGGATGTTTTGAAAATTTGGTGTGAATCATCCTCGGGTGAAGGGAAACAAGTTTTGTCAATTTTTTAAAATCCTTCTTCTCCTGAAGGATTGATTGGATTTTGTCCACCTTTGCTACATGTACATGTATATATATGTCCTGTATCATTTGTCTCCATTGTCACTTCACACTGGTAACCTTTGACCCCCTTGTGATACAGCTTGGGAGTAAATGCGCTTGATCTGGCTAGGAGCTGTACAGAGCTTTCCTACTTTCCCCATGTGTTGGAGCTTCTACTACATGAAGTTCTGGAGGCTGAAGCCACCTCCAAGGAACCAATACCAGGTAAGATTTTATCAGAATTTCGGAGATTTTGAAACATTCTTGGTGAATTTCTGGCTTAGTATTTGGTCTCATACTTAGCTCACCTGCTGACCTGTGACTCAGTGTCCAGTGCTCACTAGCTCAAACTTATGCTGTGGCTCAGTGTCCGTGGTCTGTCTGTCGTTTGGCATCAACTTTTTGCTTTAAAATGCTTCTTAATAGAAGAGGAATGGGGTCCGATGGGATAAATCTATAAAATCTATTAATTTCTTCATAATCTATATTGTTCTACAGGAATTTCAGGATATTGTCCAAATTTGGTCTGAAGCATGCTTGGATGAAGGGAAATAAGTTTATATAAATGATGGGTTGACCCATTCTGGCTAGAAAGGAGAGGCCTCATATTCGACATGTAGGAAATTCATCAAGTTTTCCTATAAATTGCTACTAGTCATGAACAGCAAATTTTAACCAAATGGTCTTAAGCATCCTTGAGTGAAGATTAATTGATTTTGTATAAACAAATTTTGTATACGTCACCTGGTGACCTGAGGGGCAGGGCCCAACGGGGAAAATCTATCAGTTTCTTCAGGAATTGCAGGCTATTGTTCAAATTTGGTCTGAAGTGCTAAATGGAAAGGAAATCAGTTCTGTATGAATGGTGTGTCTGAAGCCCTACCCCAGGACCAGAGGGTGGAAATATAGCAACTTGGTCAATTTTCTTATGATTTGATGTTAGTCAGGAATGACAGTTGATTTTAGCAATCTTTTGTTGTTTCAGGTGATTACTGCTACATTCTAACCATTATCTGCTTTCTTTTGGATTCCAGATCCTTTGCTTCCAAGAATTGTAGCATTTATCCAGGAATTCCCGGAGTTCTTACAAACAGTTGTTCATTGTGCCAGAAAAACAGAAGTGGCCCTCTGGCCATATCTGTTTTCATCTGTGGGGAACCCCAAGGACCTGTTTCAGGTATTTTAATCTGTTGTTTTTGAATCAGTGACTAGATGAATCAGAATCAAGTATTTATTTCCTTGCTGAATTTATGTTGTACCAGGATTGTTTTGTAGTAAAATTAGCCCAAAGGACCATTAGTGAGCTTGTGGCAAATTGTGGGGAATCATTCCTTAAATTCTGAAAGTTGATTCAATCTCTGGGGACTTGGGGAAGTTAAATAATATTTTGCTTTAAAATGCTACTCTTCGTTAATGTTTGAACAGCTTTCAACCAAAAATAGATTTTGATTAAATATGGTCTGAAATATTACCAGAGAGTGGCAATGATATCAGATATGCTTTAAGTGATCCTGAGATTGTCCTGACCAAATGTTATTTTTTTCTGTTTAGTCCAAAATCCGATATAATTAATCTTGGGACAAATATTCTTTTTTCTGAGTTTTGTGATATGATTGTGCAACCTACCATTTATGAGTTTCTGATCCTTTCTAAGGATGTTCATAATTTGAATTCATCAGATTTGTTAGACCACCATCAGAAAATTGTGAGCTATCCTAATTACCTTTTGTCTGCGGTTTGTCCATTCATCCATCCATTCGTCCATCCATTCGCCCGTGCATTCGTCTGTCCATTGATTTTCAGATGACCGATAAGGGCCTTGACTCTCTTGTTTCCATTGTCCTGTCTTCTGTGAGATCAATTTGTTGCTATGTAGTATAGGCAACATACATAGCAGTGCCATATAACAGGCATCTGTATCATTAGACACTGCTCCCTACTAAACACACATTTTACTTCAGTTACTGACATCAGCAGGACATGAAATAAGGACCCTCCAAATCATGTTCACATCAGCTTTAGATTTTCTAGCCAAACTCTGGCTACGGTTTAATATTTCTGTCTTTTTTAATGTGTTGTCATTAAATGGTGAACTAACCGCTCTTTGTCTGTAGTAAATCAGCTGTCGATAAGTTATTATTGTTATCACTATTTCTGCAGAAGTACTGGATGGATCATTCTCAAAGTTAAGAAGTAGCTTCCCCTTGGTCTGTTGCTGTGCTTTTTTGATTGTGGGATTGATTAAAAAGATGAAGTGATTCACAGGCACCATCTTGTATTTTGATGATGAAATTTTATGGCTTTTTAATGAGGAAGTGTTGGATCTTTTGTAAATTTCAAATACAAAAAAAAAAAAAAAAAATTTTGGACTGATCAGAATGACTGACGGAGGTCTGTCTCTTTGACAATGAAAGTTTATTGTTGCTGTTTCTTGAGAAGCACTGGATTGATAATTTCTAGATTATATATATAAAGTTAGAACAAAATAGGTAGGTAGTCTGAAACACAATGAGAGTGAACTCCACTAACCTAGCTTGTGCAGGTCAAGGGTAACCTAATCAGCTGTAGACTTTGATGATAAGATGGCGAGATATAAAGTATATTTATCCATAGGTTTAATAGGTTAACAACTTACTAACAACCAATAAGGTACAAAGATCCTTCAGAAATTTCTTGTATTACAGGAGTGTTTGATGAGTGGAAATGTGACATAAATATCAATTTTTTTATTTCAGGAATGTTTGATAAGTGGAAAATTAGAGACGGCAGCTTCATACCTCATCATTTTACAGAGTCTAGAGAAACCAATCGTCAGTAGACAGGTGAGGGAAGACATGCGTAATGGTTGTTGAATCTGTTGGGGAGTTCAATAGATGTGGGGTATGGGGAGTCCAATAGATGTGGGTAATGGGGAGTCCAATAGATATGGGGTATGGGGAGTCCAATAGATGTGGGGTATGGAGAGTCCAATAGATGTGGGGTATGGGGAGTCCAATAGATGTGGGGTATGGGGAGTCCAATAGATGTGGGGTATGGAGAGTCCAATAGATGTGGGTAATGGGGAGTCCAATAGATGTTGGGTATGGAGAGTCCAATAGATGTGGGGTATGGGGAGTCCAATAGATGTGGGGTATGGGGAGTCCAATAGATGTGGGGTATGGGGAGTCCAATAGATGTGGGGTATGGGGAGTCCAATAGATGTAGGGTATGGAGAGTCCAATAGATGTGGGGTATGGGGAGTCCAATAGATGTAGGGTTTGGAGAGTCCAATAGATGTGGGGTATGGGGAGTCCAATAGATGTGGGGTATGGGGAGTCCTATAGATGTGGGGTATGGGGAGTCCAATAGATGTGGGGTATGTAGGGCTGGAAAGCTGCTCAATACGTATGGGAGAAGGGATTTCAGCTTATGGTAATGAATCTCTGTGAAATCTTTAAATTTTTTGAAATATGAATGAATGAATGAATGAATGAACGAAGGAACGAAGGAATGAACGAACAAACAAGTTCAAATGATAAGAAAGTTCTTTTAATTTGATTTCATTAGATCACATGATCCAAACTGTTGTACTTGTGAGTTTTTACAATGGCACATCGCTGTTTGTTTATCTGTCTATCAACAATTTTCCCAACCAATTGCTACTAGTTGTGAACAATGGAACAGATTTTGATCAAATTTGGTCTGAAGTATCCTTTGGAAACAAAAATCAACTTAGGGGCTCACAACTTATCAAGCAACCCTCTGCCCATTCGAGCTGACCAGAGATTTAGCATGTTATTTTGTTTTGGAAAATAATACTTCAGGGTATGTTTTCTTTTTTTCAATAAAAGTTCATCTTCATCATTTGTCACCAGACATTAGTTTGATATTATGGATTTATTTTACTTGCAGCATGCCACACTGTTATTAGATTCATCACTGGACAAGGGCAAATGGGATTTAGCTCGAGACTTGGTTCGATTCCTCAAGGCAATAGGTAAAACTATCAAATATTTCATTGTCTCATGCTGCTTGGCGAAGTAACTGTAGAATTGTTCATCTAGAACAATCCAAGGGATCAGGTTTTTGTTAAATCATTAATGATTTTTTTTATTGTCAAATCTTGAGTTTTTTACTTCTGTGAGTTTTTCTATGGGCTACATTGTCCTGATCTAGAAACAGATGAATGGTTTCTGTACATTATGTTTGATTAGATCTTGATTGCTGAACCATGTTGGTTTTCCATCACAGATCCTTCAGATGTTGACTCTCCCACAAACCTGTCCTCAATAGGCAGAACCACGGGGTATTCCAGTCCTCCAATATCACCACCAGACGCAGACGGATTCAGCTTTACAAATGTCAGTAATGTCAGCAATATTAATCGTGTACGAAGTTCCAGTGTGACCTCTACAGACTTGGTTCAGAATGTCCGAGTCAAAGAAAAGCTTAAACACACGATGTCGGACAACCCAGTCCATGGAAGACGGTGAGTCAGTGTATTCAAAAGTTTTAATGCGATGATATTGTCTTGTGATATGGTCTTTATACATACTATGTAAGCTCTGACACCTTTAATACATTCTCAATTTGGTCCATATAGACAGTGAAAATTTAGATTTTTAGGACCCTGATTATCCATACAAAAATAAACATTTTCATGGCAATAATTGCATATTTTCAAGCTTTTCATTGCCTAGAAAGTTCTGCATGTCCATGATATTGAAAAAAAGTTTCATTTTTAAGGTCATGTGACTGTTTTATGCCTCTGGTCATCTTATTTGTGTTTGTGTTAACGTTTTTTGTACATTGTGGATTGTTTTGCATTTGGCCTCTTGTTTTGTTAAAGGAAAAGTGAATGAAAAGCAAACTATATGGTGGCTTCACTTTACCATGGGGGTTTGGCACATTTCACGATGACAGTAAAGAGATCCACACTTTACCATGGGGGTGTGGCACATTTCACAATGACAGTAAAGAGATCCACACTTTACCATGGGGGTGTGGCACATTTCACAATGACAGTAAAGAGATCCATACTTTACCGTGGGGGTGTGGCACATTTCACAATGACAGTAAAGAGATCCACACTTTACCGTGGGGGTGTGGCACATTTCACAATGACAGTAAAGAGATCCACACTTTACCGTGGGGGTGTGGCACATTTCACAATGACAGTAAAGAGATCCACACTTTACCGTGGGGGTGTGGCACATTTCACAATGACAGTAAAGAGATCCACACTTTACCGTGGGGGTGTGGCACATTTCACAATGACAGTAAAGAGATCCACACTTTACCGTGGGGGTGTGGCACATTTCACAATGACAGTAAAGAGATCCACACTTTACCGTGGGGGTGTGGCACATTTCACAATGACAGTAAAGAGATCCACACTTTACCGTGGGGGTGCGGCACATTTCACAATGACAGTAAAGAGATCCACACTTTACCATGGGGGTGTGGCACATTTCACAATGACAGTAAAGAGATCCACACTTTACCATGGGGGTGTGGCACATTTCACAATGACAGTAAAGAGATCCACAGTTCACACTATTATGGGCTTGACTTTATCATAATACATTACTTCTTTTAAAGAAAACAATAATATAGTGTAATAGTGAATAAAAATGTTTTGATGTGAAAGATGAAATATCCAGGTGAGCAATACAGGCCACTTGTTCAACCTATGTTAGAATATCAATTCTCAAATGTTAGCTGACCATGTGTAAGGAGAACGCTTGAATAATTTTATGAACTAAATGTATTTCACTGTGTGATAGTATGCTTTGTATTTATTGTGTAGAATGTCACCAAAGCCTAAAGATGATTCCTCACCCGACCAATTGTACATAGATGTGATACTGTGTCGTCACTGCCGACGCCTTGCCGAAACAAACAGGATGAGAGACATGGGCTACTTTGCTGCTAATATGGAAGACTTTCAGCTTGTGTCCTGGCTCAAACGAGAAAGGTAGACAATAAAGGACAGAATTAGCCAATAATCTGGCTAATGTTCTGTGTATTTTGTAATAGGTAGCATTAAATCTGTTCATTAAATGTATTTTCTGTCTCTGCAACATGATAAAGGAGTATTAGATGTTGTTTAATAATCAGATCAGCAACTCAGACTTTTTATGAGTTTGTGTTTCTGTATGTTAGCTTACCTGACCCTAAGGAAACAACTTCTTCTTGATAACCAAAAAGCCAAAAGTCATGATAATTCACTGTAGATTCTTTAGAGGTAGCCAAACAACATTGTGATTGGAAGTGACATTAACCTATATTCAAGGTTATGAGTCAAATTTGTTATGATATTCAAACAACCTCAAACCAAAAGACATAGACTCATAATACAGTAGACCTCTGACACAGATAATCTAGAAAACTGACAATCCGAACAAAAGTGATGCTCCAAACTGGTCATTTGTCTGTTGTTGTGCATATTTAAAGTTTGGACAGATAGAGAAAAGATAAAAAGGTGAAAAGATTAACTTTTGAAGAACTGTTAAACATAAACCTTATATTGTGTATAGAGTATCTTTTTTAACAAATATTTAAAGGTTACGTGCAGCCAAAGTTGAAGATTTTGTGACAGCACTAAGAGACCTACATCAGCAGTTTGAGTGGCCATTCCCTATTCTTTCCTACTCTGCCTTTCAACAACTTAAAAACAAAACTTGTAAGTACAGTAGCACCATTTCTACAAACGATAATTCCTTCAATCTGTGACAAGTCAGTCATAAAAATTGTTTCTGTGTTGCTACAATTTGATGATGAAGTCGAGATATCTTGTGTGTTTTTGCTTCTTATACATACCTCCAGTAAACCTGGTGGTAACTCCATGTTTACTTACCTCATCATGTTATACACACCTCCAGTACACCTGGTGGTATGTCCATGTTTACTTACCTCATCATGTTATACATACCTCCAGTAAACCTGTTTGTATCTCCATGTTTACTTACCTCATCATGTTATACACACCTCCAGTACACCTGGTGGTATGTCCATGTTTACTTACCTCATCATGTTATACACACCTCCAGTACACTTGGTGGTATCTCCATGTTTACTTACCTCATCATGTTATACATACCTCCAGTACACCTGGTGATATCTCCATGTTTACTTACCTCATCATGTTATACACACCTCCAGTATACCTGGTGGTATGTCCATGTTTACTTACCTCATCATGTTATACATACCTCCAGTACACCTGGTGGTATCTCCATGTTTACTTACCTCATCATGTTATACACACCTCCAGTACACCTGGTGGTATGTCCATGTTTACTTACCTCATCATGTTATACATACCTCCAATACACCTGGTGGTATCCCCTTTTATTACCAATTGGCCACAGCTATGCTTTTAACCCTCTTATGAAAGGGAAGCTACCATATTTATTGTAATAAACACTCAGGACCAGGTGAATCATGAATGACAGTGGGGTATATCAGAATCATCCAAAGGCAAACAAAAACCAGTTATCATTACTGATGGATCTTGGTCCCCAATGCAGAAAAGGAGAGGCTCAATAGGGGAAATAAACAAAATTCTTAAAATCCTTCCCCTGTAGGAATGATGGGATTATGTTAAAGTGTACTCTTTCCAACACCTTGCAGTGGGGTGACAATTTTCATGTTCATTGTGATATTGTTAAATAGCATTGGTTAAAGATGCCTGAAGATTGGATGAATCATTTTCACAGTTTTTCATTGTCCAATGAAAATGAGTGCATGTTGGATGAACTTTGTCCAGACCATGTTTTTCCACTGAGCTGATCCTAGATACATTAACCAACACTTTAGATAAAGATATTTATACCAAGTAATTATTTATATTTGCAGTTTCAACATCAAGTCTAGCGTCAATGTCTTTATTAGAGGAAGAGTTGCAAAAGACAGAACAAGATGTATCTCTGGGGGAGAAAAAAGAACGAGAGGAGGGAGGAGCTTATAACCAGTATTTAGGCACTACTCGACCAGGCTCTAGTGAACAGAACATCTCCCACTCCCTGTCTGATGATATCATACTCAGACCACAGATATCTCAAAGTTAGTATTCAGGATCATCCACCAAATCCGGTCTGTCTTTCTGTAATCTGTCGCTCTTCATCCGTGACCTTCAGTCAGAAATGTTAATTGTGTCTGTTGATCTAATGTGCATCTCATTAATTAATTCCATACACAACTGAATTTACTCTCTGATATTTTTTATCATGCCCCCCCGAAAATTTTGCTGCTTTGTCCATCTGTCCTTCTGTCCATCTTTCCATCTATCCTTTCATGTCGGAAGCATAGCTTTGCCCACATTTGATCAAGGACCATGAAACTTGGCCTATGACCCTTCAATTACAGAGTTATTGCCCTTGGTTATAATTTCATTCCAAAGCATTATTTTACTTCCATTAAATCTAGGATAATGAACTTAGTGTAATCATACAATGTGCAGTGAACTAAGTTCAGGGTTCACAATTCTTGAATTACACAGTTATTGCCCTCTTAAAGTGTTGGGTCCAAAGAACAACTTCAAATAGTTTGCGTTTAAACTAGGATAACAGAACTTGTTGTACACATTGATCATACAAGGACATTGTGCAGCACTGTACCAATGTTAGGGCTCAATTACAGAATTATTGCCCTTAGTTAAACATTTGTGTCTAGAGCATAACTTCGCTTCGCACGCTAGGATAACGAAACTTGGTGAATACATCTGATATTAAGATGACGTGCAGTGTACCAGATTCAGAGTATGAAAACACTTTGATTACAAAGTGATTGCCCTATGTTAAACAGTGTGTGTGTCCTGAGCATAAATTTGCTTTAATAAAATTTAAATAGTTTAAATGATTTAAACTGCAATAATGAAACTTGTTGTGTACTTTAGTCATACTGATATACAGTTATTGCCATTTGTTAAAATTTTGTGTCCAAAAAAGTTGTTTTCGTTTTTGAGGAGCGTTCATCAGTTTCATGGATTCTCTAATGTAATCATTCAGGATAATCTTCTTGAACTATTCCTTTCTGGAGAATATCACTTTTGCAAGTTGTTGGCTTTAAAGATACTGTCCATTATTAGCTCACTTGACCCGGATGACTTTGATCATTATTCAAGGTCACATGGGTTCAGTTTGTTGAGAACCTTTGAATAGTTTCTTCTCATTAACCAAAAGTCCTAGAATCATTATATTTGTCTGGTAATTAACCAAAAGTCCTAGAATCATTATCTTTGTCTGGTAATTAACCAAAAGTCCTAGAATCATTATCTTTGTCTGGTAATTAACCAAAAGTCCTAGAATCATTATATTTGTCTGGTAATTAACCAAAAGGCCTAGAATCATTATCTTTGTCTGGTAATTAACCAAAAGTCCTAGAATCATTATATTTGTCTGGTAATTAACCAAAAGTCCTAGAATCATTATCTTTGTCTGGTAATTAACCAAAAGTCCTAGAATCATTATATTTGTCTGGTAATTAACCAAAAGGCCTAGAATCATTATCTTTGTCTGGTAATTAACCAAAAGTCCTAGAATCATTATCTTTGTCTGGTAATTAACCAAAAGTCCTAGAATCATTATATTTGTCTGGTAATTAACCAAAAGTCCTAGAATCATTATCTTTGTCTGGTAATTAACCAAAAGTCCTAGAATCATTATCTTTGTCTGGTAATTAACCAAAAGTCCTAGAATCATTATATTTGTCTGGTAATTAACCAAAAGTCCTAGAATCATTATATTTGTCTGGTAATTAACCAAAAGTCCTAGAATCATTATCTTTGTCTGGTAATTAACCAAAAGTCCTAGAATCATTATATTTGTCTGGTAATTAACCAAAAGGCCTAGAATCATTATCTTTGTCTGGTAATTAACCAAAAGTCCTAGAATCATTATCTTTGTCTGGTAATTAACCAAAAGTCCTAGAATCATTATATTTGTCTGGTAATTAACCAAAAGTCCTAGAATCATTATCTTTGTCTGGTAATTAACCAAAAGTCCTAGAATCATTATCTTTGTCTGGTAATTAACCAAAAGTCCTAGAATCATTATATTTGTCTGGTAATTAACCAAAAGGCCTAGAATCATTATCTTTGTCTGGTAATTAACCAAAAGGCCTAGAATCATTATATTTGTCTGGTAATTAACCAAAAGGCCTAGAATCATTATATTTGTCTGGTAATTAACCAAAAGGCCTAGAATCATTATCTTTGTCTGGTAATTAAAAGTTTCTCAGATGAAATCTGACAAAGAAATGACCTTGACCTATGTTCAGAAGGTGCAGGAGCATGATATTTGGCTGAGGCAAGGAGAAAGCCTGACAAAGTTATCAAAAAAAAAAAATGACCTTGAACCATATTCAAGGTCACAGGGCTCAAGTTTGTCAAAATATTTTGACAGTTTCTTCTTACTAACCAAAAGGTCTAGAAGCAGGACATAGTGGAAGGGAGGGTGTATTAAGGTTGAAGCCCAACAAATTTTTAACAAAAAAGCAAAATATCTTGCTAGTAGGTCTGTGGGATGAAACTCGGCAAAGTTTGCAGAGAGAAATAACTTTAAACCATATACATATTCACCGGGGACATAAAAAAAAAAAAAAAAGGAAGTGACATTTACCTATAATCCAGGTCTTAACTGTTACTGTTTAGAGTTCAATGTGAGAAGTTGTTTGTTGTGGAAATTACTTTAAATTGATTTCATAAGTCCAGTTTGAATACTAATGGTGTACATGTTAATATATTTGTAATTAAGACTGATTGCATTTTTGATGAACATTGAATACCAGGTGAATGATGCAGGTCCATTGGACCTCTTGTTTAGCATATTATTACCAGGCGAGGCCTCTTTTAGACAAAAAAGTTATAAGTGATGATGGACTTGTTTCTAGCGGAGGAGAGCAGCTTAGCTACCATGGAAGTATCAGACAATAGTTCTCTACTGGGGGAGTTTGAATACCTGGCCGACATCAGTAGCAGTACAGATCCTTTGTCACCAGAACTGGAGATCCTCTCTCAGGAAATGGCTAACAAGGGTCCTATACAGTCAGAACTGGAACTCAGGTGAATTTAATTAAAATCTACTAGAATGTATTAGTGATCAGTTAAAATAGATATCAACATTATATATATAACGAGGTGTAAGTATACTGATATACTGTTACCCTCAACCTTTTCAGACTCTTTTTCTGTACTAAATAGGCATAGCAATAGAAATTTCGAAAATATTTTCATTCGTAAAACATTAATACTATATCATGAACTTGCCTTTAACTTTCGTATTGCTTTTTGTTGGGTTCCTGGGCACATTGGAATACCAGGCAATGAAAAAGCAGATCGTGCCACAAAGGAAGCTTTATCGCTACCACCTGTTGTTTTTAAACTTCATTTTACTGATTTTAAACCATTTATCAAACAATTTTTCACAGCTCAGTGGCTGGAGGAATGGAATCAATATACCATAATAAATTGCACTTTGTAAAGCCTATCATCAGTGAATGGTCTCCAGGTTATAGAGACAACCACTGAGACGAAGTTGTCCTTGCCCGTCTTCGGATGGGTCATACATACCTTACACATTCATATATGATGAATGGCGAAGATAATCCTTGGTGCATGGGATATAATGAGCCATTCTCTGTTAAACATTTTTTATTTGACAGCATTGACCTTCGATGGACCCGAGAATTTGTTTTTATCGTAACGTTACAAGTCTAGAGACCCTTTTTAAAACTGTTGAGATTTGTAAAATTCTAGGTTATCTGAAAGATGTTCAATATTATAGACTATGTCATACCATTTTAATATTTTGTGATAGTATAACCATTTATGATTTTTAGCCCTAATGACCTTTTATGTGTTGACAGGCTGTTGATATTGTAATAATAATAGTAATTTTCCATTGGAACTAACTTTGTAAGAATTATCAGTATAAGATGACAGTTTTGATGGTATGCATGTATTAACACTGGCTTACTATAGTCAGTGTCACAATGTCTTTTTCAATGCAGTTTAAAGCTACTTATCCATTAACCTTTATATTCCATATTATTTATCTCAGATGACCGACAAGGCTTGTTTTTATTGATTAGCTGTTCCAACTTCTTCAACTTTGTTTTGCAGAAAAATTGAACTTCTCTCCATCTTTAAAGACACTATATGAAGTTATTCTCCTGTTCTACTGTTGTTATTAAGCTGAAATTTAAAAGGAATGTTTAGAAAGTGAAAAAAAGTGTTTTTGGGTTACTTTTACTGTGAAACTGTTGCTTGAATCCTTAAAGAATTGTACTGACTACTACTACTACAGCTGTGTACTGACTACTACTACAGCTGTGTACTGACTACTACTACAGCTGTTATATATATTGTACTGACTACTACTACAGCTGTGTACTGACTACTACTACAGCTGTTATATATATTGTACTGACTACTACTACAGCTGTTATATATATTGTACTGACTACTACTACAGCTGTTATATATATTGTACTGACTACTACTACAGCTGTGTACTGACTACTACTACAGCTGTTATATATATTGTACTGACTACTACTACAGCTATGTACTGACTACTACTACAGCTGTGTACTGACTACTACTACAGCTGTTATATATATTGTACTGACTACTACTACAGCTGTTATATATATTGTACTGACTACTACTACAGCTGTGTACTGACTACTACTACAGCTGTTATATATATTGTACTGACTACTACTACAGCTGTTATATATATTGTACTGACTACTACTACAGCTATGTACTGACTACTACTACAGCTGTTATATATATTGTACTGACTACTACTACAGCTGTTATATATATTGTACTGACTACTACTACAGCTGTGTACTGACTACTACTACAGCTGTTATATATATTGTACTGACTACTACTACAGCTGTTATATATATTGTACTGACTACTACTACAGCTGTTATATATATTGTACTGACTACTACTACAGCTGTGTACTATACTACTACAGCTGTTATATATATTGTACTGACTACTACTACAGCTGTTATATATATTGTACTATATTACTACTGACTACTACTACAGCTGTTATATATATTGTACTGACTACTACTGTTATATATATTGTACTGACTACTACTACAGCTGTTATATATATTGTACTGACTACTACTACAGCTGTGTACTGACTACTACTACAGCTGTTATATATATTGTACTGACTACTACTACAGCTGTTATATATATTGTACTGACTACTACTACAGCTGTTATATATATTGTACTGACTACTACTACAGCTGTGTACTGACTACTACTACAGCTGTTATATATATTGTACTGACTACTACTACAGCTGTTATATATATTGTACTGACTACTACTACAGCTGTTATATATATTGTACTGACTACTACTACAGCTGTGTACTGACTACTACTACAGCTGTTATATATATTGTACTGACTACTACTACAGCTATGTACTGACTACTACTACAGCTGTGTACTGACTACTACTACAGCTGTTATATATATTGTACTGACTACTACTACAGCTGTGTACTGACTACTACTACAGCTGTTATATATATTGTACTGACTACTACTACAGCTGTGTACTGACTACTACTACAGCTATGTACTGACTACTACTACAGCTGTTATATATATTGTACTGACTACTACTACAGCTATGTACTGACTACTACTACAGCTGTTATATATATTGTACTGACTACTACTACAGCTGTGTACTGACTACTACTACAGCTATGTACTGACTACTACTACAGCTGTTATATATATTGTACTGACTACTACTACAGCTGTTATATATATTGTACTACTACTACTACAGCTGTTATATATATTGTACTGACTACTACTACAGCTATGTACTGACTACTACTACAGCTGTTATATATATTGTACTGACTACTACTACAGCTGTTATATATATTGTACTGACTACTACTACAGCTATGTACTGACTACTACTACAGCTGTTATATATATTGTACTGACTACTACTACAGCTGTGTACTGACTACTACTACAGCTGTTATATATATTGTACTGACTACTACTACAGCTATGTACTGACTATATATTATTGTACTGACTACTACTACAGCTGTGTACTGACTATATACAGCTATGTACTGACTACTACTACAGCTGTGTACTATACTACTACAGCTATGTACTGACTACTACTACAGCTGTTATATATATTGTACTGACTACTACTACAGCTATGTACTGACTATATACAGCTGTGTACTGACTACTACTACAGCTGTTATATATATTGTACTGACTACTACTACAGCTATGTACTGACTACTACTACAGCTGTTATATATATTGTACTGCTGTGTACTGACTACTACTACAGCTATGTACTGACTACTACTACAGCTGTTATATATATTGTACTGACTACTACTACAGCTGTTATATATATTGTACTGACTACTACTACAGCTGTTATATATATTGTACTACTACTACTACAGCTATGTATATACTACTACAGCTGTTATATATATTGTACTGACTACTACTACAGCTGTTATATATATTGTACTGACTACTACTACAGCTATGTACTGACTACTACTACAGCTGTTATATATATTGTACTGACTACTACTACAGCTATGTACTGACTACTACTACAGCTGTTATATATATTGTACTGACTACTACTACAGCTATGTACTGACTACTACTACAGCTGTTATATATATTGTACTGACTACTACTACAGCTGTGTACTGACTACTACTACAGCTATGTACTGACTACTACTACAGCTGTGTACTGACTACTACTACAGCTATGTACTGACTACTACTACAGCTGTTATATATATTGTACTGACTACTACTACAGCTATGTACTGACTACTACTACAGCTGTGTACTGACTACTACTACAGCTGTTATATATATTGTACTGACTACTACTACAGCTATGTACTGACTACTACTACAGCTGTTATATATATTGTACTGACTACTACTACAGCTGTGTACTGACTACTACTACAGCTATGTACTGACTACTACTACAGCTGTTATATATATTGTACTGACTACTACTACAGCTGTTATATATATTGTACTGACTACTACTACAGCTGTTATATATATTGTACTGACTACTACTACAGCTATGTACTGACTACTACTACAGCTGTTATATATATTGTACTGACTACTACTACAGCTGTGTACTGACTACTACTACAGCTATGTACTGACTACTACTACAGCTGTTATATATATTGTACTGACTACTACTACAGCTGTTATATATATTGTACTGACTACTACTACAGCTGTTATATATATTGTACTGACTACTACTACAGCTATGTACTGACTACTACTACAGCTGTTATATATATTGTACTGACTACTACTACAGCTATGTACTGACTACTACTACAGCTGTTATATATATTGTACTGACTACTACTACAGCTGTGTACTGACTACTACTACAGCTGTTATATATATTGTACTGACTACTACTACAGCTGTTATATATATTGTACTGACTACTACTACAGCTGTGTACTGACTACTACTATAGTTGTTATATATATTGGGATGTTTATTAAGACACATCAGTCTCTAATTTTTCAGGTACTTACTCCAGATAGCACTAGAAGCAGGATGCCTAGAGTGGGCTCTTATCTTCTCTATGTTGTTACGAGATGCTTTGGCGGTGGTTAGGACCGTCAACACTGCCAGTATGACAGACACACCGTTGGAGATTGTTGCCCGGATGAGGGAGGGTCTGTCCTACCTTGAGCTGTGGGCAGATACTGAATGGTAAGTACAGAACAAGGTTTTTTTATGCTCACAGCACTATAGTAGTCATCTGGGTGAGCTGGTAGGTTTCTGGAATGAATGAGTGATTGCTTATGTTAAAATCTATAGGGATACTGTGGCATTTGGCATCTGTCAGTTGGTTGTCAGCTACCTTTTCCTATAAATTGCTACTAGTCATGACTGACCAGATTTTAATCAAATTGGTTATGAAGCATCCTTGTAGTAAGGGGAAATAACTTCGTATAAATGATGGGTCTGTTGCCCGTGGTACTTAAGAAGGCTAGGCACAAAGTTGAAAATTTTTTGTTAGCTTTCCTGGCCCAGCAGTGAAATCGAGTAAATTCTTTATATTCCTACTCCTACTGTAGGAATGATTGTATTTTGGCCAAGTATTTTCTGAAGTATAAGGGGAATCAATTTTGTATAAATGGTGGGTTTCAACTGTTTATCAGAGCAAGGTAGAGGCTAGAGTATTTTTATACTTGTTAAAATTCTCTACTTATTTTTTGCTATTTCATACTGATTTATCACTGCCTTGGCAATCCATGATGAACAGAATGTGCCATTAAGCACTTTGATTTTAACTGCATTCAGTAATGTCTCCAAATATATTACACTAATATATGTTTATATCTGTTTTACTTCATGTCTTTTCAGTCTTGGGTACAAACCTTTCTTGCATGCTATTCGAGGACAGATTCAATTGTTAAATAAACTAGCAGAACAAACGCCACCAACTTTACAGCTGAGCACAACACCTATAGAAAGCTCGTCATTGAATGAGGGACAAATATCACCTGTGTTACAAGCGATGCGCTCCATGGATATTGAAAATACTATAGAGAGTGACATTGACAGCAAAATCAAAGAGGAAAAGGGAAGTGATTGCGCTGTCTCATGATATAAAAAATGACCAGACGTTGTTGTATAAACTATATCATGTTGCTATGTAAAAGTCAGCGGACCAAGATTTTCACTATGGCTGTACCCAGGTAACCGGTTACAGGCAAGGTTTTAGATGCGACAACCCAGTTTGGAAAAAGTGTACTTGAACCCAGAAATGTGTTACCGTTATAATACTGACTGGATACAATTATAAAAAGCTTACAGCCTCGATAGACTTACCATTCATATCGATGAATCGTACCCAGTATTATACTGTGGTTCGTGTACCTGTTGTATAAACTGCTGCATTGTTGCAGGGACACAAGAAGTTTGACAATTTCTCATGCTGGTTATACTGTAGCCTTATCCTGTAATTTTGTTCATTCTGAAACCATCAGTGTACATTGTGTAAAACACAATACATTATCTGTACTGTATTCAACAAATTACCATAAATACAGTGTAATACACAACACATTAGGGGTACCTGTAATGTATTCAACTAATTACCATAAATACAGTGTAATACACAACACATTAGAGGTACCTGTAATGTATTCAACTAATTACCATAAATACAGTGTAATACACAACACATTAGGGGTATCTGTAATGTATTCAACTAATTACCATAAATACAGTGTAATACACAACACATTATCTGTAATGTATTCAACAAATTACCATAAATACAGTGTAATACACAACACATTACCTGTAATGTATTCAACTAATTACCATAAATACAGTGTAATACACAACACATTAGCGGTACCTGTAATGTATTCAACAAATTACCATAAATACAGTGTAATACACAACACATTACCTGTAATGTATTCAACTAATTACCATAAATACAGTGTAATACACAACACATTATAGGTACCTGTAATGTATTCAACTAATTACCATAAATACAGTGTAATACACAACACATTATCTGTAATGTATTCAACAAATTACCATAAATACAGTGTAATACACAACACATTAGAGGTACCTGTAATGTATTCAACTAATTACCATAAATACAGTGTAATACACAACACATTAGGGGTACCTGTAATGTATTCAACAAATTACCATACATAGCATCAAAAACACAATATTTTAATCTTGAACTTGCCATCACAGTCATTATTGTGATATCTTAAGTTGTTGAAAAATGTATAGTATAACCCTTGATTCAACTGGTTTGTATACCAGGTAATTAAGATTTCTTCTCTGTGTATTTACTGGTGATGTTATTATTTATATTCAGTATTAATTAAGTACAAAACATATAAACTCCTGAACATACCACATAGATTTATAGATCAAAGTCATCAAGGCTGCATGGAACTTCACCAAATAAAGATGGTAGAAAACAAACGTAGTACATACACAGTCACAGCTAGTAATTCTACTTTTACTAGAAAATCTATTTCATTCATTGTGAACTTTGTAAATAGATCATGATCTTCATGGTTTTAATTCTAAAGGGTGTGTGTGTGACTGGGTATGGGTTGGGATACAGGTACTAGGACCAGAACTTCTTTTATCTGTGACAGCTCTAATTTTCATCACCATCAATAACACCATTTTTGACCTAATTAGCACACTAAAACACAAAATGGATCACTTAGTTAACTCTTTCTATGTTCATTTCATATATCACGGTCACCATGTATTCTTTACAGAGCTCGTGGCAAAATGAATCTGATTGGATTGATAAGGATTTACGGCTGTGTTCAGTATGTCATTTATTTGCTGCTATTTATTGTATCAATAAGGCAGAAAAATGCTTTCAGAATATCTACAGCAAGAAGATTTCAACAAAATCGTTTGATAGAATGACTGAAACTGGTATTATGTTTAAAGTATTATCATGTATCTTCTCACTGTACTACTGTTAGTTATCACTTTATTGTCCTCGATTCTAACATATTTTAATTTAGTCTTGTTTGCTTTTGTCGGTAAGCATTATTGTTTGTTATATTTAAACATGATGATGGTGGGCCATTCAAATCGCCATACGTCCTTGGTCAGTGGTCCGCCTGTCCGTCCGTAAACAATTTTTTGTTATCGCTATTTCATGAGAAGCACTGGATGGATCTTTCTAAAATTTTATATGCAGGTTCCCCTTGGTCCCCAGTTGTGCCCATTTGATTTTGGGACTGATCAGAAAAAACAAGAATGGCTTCAAGCAGCCATCTTGGATTTGTCAGTTAAAGATGATTACACTATTTCTACAAGGAAATGTTCAAATTTTCTTATCCTTAGCAAAAACAAAGAAGGGAAAAGATCCATTCTTCAAGAACAAATAAAAATAAAACAATGGTGGACACCAAGATTGCTCTGGGATCACTTGTTACCAGTTTTCTACCAATTTTACGATTTAAATTTATGCAATTTTGAAAGGGTCACTAAATTCACAAAAATTAGATACACACAAAAAATTCTGATATACGGTATTTTAACAAATCATTAAGCATGCAGCCAAAAGTTAAATACCCTCATGCTATTTTTTATAGGTTAAATATTTATTTCTATGAAACACACCAAATGAGTGAGTATGCACTTATTGGGGCAGGGGTGCTAATTAGGTCAAACACGATATCCATTAATCTATTAATGTAAGAGGTCAGACCACAGAATGTAAAGGAAATAAGTTAAAATTTCCTTATATTGATAAAAACCCTATCTTTTGCAAAAGGTTGTATTTTTATACTTCCCAAGATTGAAGAGGCCATGTTTTTTTGTCTATCTTCCTATAGTCTACCTGTTTGTCTGTGTTAGGGTTTCCATCAAATGGCTAGTTTTCTTCCTCAGATTTGAATCAAATTTATTATATTGCTTTATATCAGTAAGGTCTGTGCTGAGTTAGTTCAAAGTCCGTCAACATTTGCCAGAATTACAGTCTTTTAAATTCCTTGAAATAGATCATTTTTCATTTCTGTCAGATAACTTTCTGTCAAATTTGAACCAAATTTAGTATATTGCTATATATCAATAAGATCACACAGGAATTTATGTAATGGCGGAAGTCCATGGACATTTGACAGAGTTATCAAACTTGAAGAATATGATTTAAGATTTTTATTTTTTGTGATGATGTCACAAACAGAACGTTTAAAATGAAACAAGTATAAACAATTTGTAACTGAGATGGAAATGTTAAAATCCTATTTTTTCTCAATGAAAAAGATTAAAGTTGACTTAAATAAAATGGAGTCACTATACAGTATGATGAGATGAAAGACAATAAGAATGGCATTCATGTTGTAGCTGCCACACAGTTCACACAATTTTTATGCCATCAAACATATGTTCATGTTGCCAAGAGATATTGAATAGATTTTATAAGGCCTTCATCATCAGAAGGTGGGCTAATACTCATCAGTATTTCTTAAAATACTGAATGGATCTTTCTCAAATTTCATGTGTGGGTGTCCCATGGAGATTGGTTATGCTCTTTTATTGTTTGGGATTGATCAGAAAAACAAAAATCAAAAAATCTTTTGATTGTGAAAATGAAAATTATCACTGTTTCTGGAGAAATACTTATTGGATCATTTTCAAAATTCACAGGCAGTTTCCCCTTAGTACCTAGATGTGTAATGCCAATTTTACAGTTGATTGGAGGAAAAAAAATGTCTGACAGGCAGCCATCTTGGATTTTGACCATGAAAGTTTGTTATCGCTATTTCGTGTGAAGTACAGAATGGATATTTTTAAAAAATTTCATGTTTGTCCCATTCAGTCCACAGTTGTGCCTTTTTGAATAAGGGACTGATCAGGAAAAAAACAAGATGGATGACAATGGGCCATCCTGGATTTTGACACTGAAAGTTTGTTATCCCTATTTGTTTAGAAGGACTGAAAGGAACTTTGTCGGATTTCATAACAAAAATCCCCTTGTTCCTTAGTTGTGTTGGTTTGATTTCTATCTTAATCAGAAAGAGAAAATGACCTGTACGTGGCCAACATGGCTTTCCACTGTGATAGCTTTGTTAGTGCCATTTCTTGTGAAATACAAGACGGATATTTCTCAAATTTCATGTATAGCTTACCTTTTATCCCTAGATGTGCCCTTTGGATTTTGGGACTCATCAAAATAAACAAATGGCTGAGAGGCATTCATCTTGGATAAGTAAGATTATTACTTGTGATAGGAATTTTGAAATTCCATAAAATCGAGAACAAACACAGAGGAAGGAAGAGATAAGAAGGAAAAACTTGGTAGGAGCAAATGAAGATCAAACGATGGTGGGGGCAAATATCACTGTATCCTGTATATCTATATATACTGTCTTATCTAATGTAACCTTTTGGTTCAGGTTTAGTCTCATATTGACTTGAGTAAATGATCACCACAAATATATTCTTTCACCACAAATTTAGTAAAGTATACATTACATGAATTTATATAGTTGTAAAATGCATGTTTGAATTATAATGTAACATTGGTGCAGAAGTCAAATTGTGACAATTCTATATGTTTATTGTGTATTTGAAGGATGAGCATATCTGTCAAGGCCATTTACTATAATAAAAACAGTTGTGCTTTCAACATACAAAGTTTCACAGTATCGTTTGAGTTCCTCATTACAGAATCAAAGTCCAGCATATTGATTATAACCTTAGAGATAATACTGGTGTCACCTCTGGTCAGGAGTAGTATATTGGTTGAAGAGAAGTAATCTATTTCCTGTATAGTTTTAAGGCAATAAAGCTTTACCTACATGTAATCAATTTCACATCTAAGCAAAAGGACAGGTCTGTCAAAAACATTGATTCCTTTCTCACTCATAACAACCTTAGTTCTCACTCCTTAATCAGTCTGACTTTCTCACTCCTTAATCAGTCTGACTTTCTCACTCATAACACCCTTAGTCCTCACTCCTTAATCAGCCTGACTTTCTCACACATAACACCCTTAGTCCTCACTCCTTAATCAGTCTGACTTTCTCACTCCTTAATCAGCCTGACTTTCTCACTCCTTAATCAGTCTGACTTTCTCACACATAACACCCTTAGTCTCATCACCTTACATGACTTTCTCAACATAACACCCTTAGTTTCTCACTCCTTAATCAGCCTGACTTTCTCACTCCTTACTTTCTCACTCCTTAATCAGCCTGACTTTCTC